ATATCAAATGCTCTTGGCTTTTATCCATCCAACTATATGTATATATATATATATATATATATATATATATATATATATATATATATATTTATCTATATTTTGGCTTAAGGCTAATGCTCATTAGGCAAATGTATAAACGTATATTTATACCTCGCTACGTTGACACACACTCATGCGGAAATATTTTATTATTTATTCAAGACAAGTGCCCAGCGCGCTGGCGGTCTCTAGGCTGTATATGCAAAGTACATTTCCATTTTGTATTAAGTTTTTCTTTTACTGTTAAAATGCAATGCTCGGTGCAAAGGCAATTGACAACTTAACGTGGAGGTAAGCCATAAAGAAGCAATATATGAGTGAATATTCAGTATGTAGATCGCTTAACGTAATTAAGATATATAATTATATACAATCAGAACATATTTATATAAAGTATATGCTCTCATTTACCATAACTGAGAAAGGGGTTTAGCTAAACCAATTGCAGCAGAGGAGCTCTGCGGGAGATTCTCAAGGTGATTCGAGCTATAAACTTATAGAAAAATTAAATTTTTTCTTATTTTTCGCACACTTAATCCAGCTATAAATCTATAAAAATCTCTATAAATATGAAGCCTACTTTATTATTATGCCTCACGATAAAAAATAATCCTAGCTGAAACATCCTTAAAGCACAATTCTAATTAGCATTTATAAACTATTTTAGTAGAGTTTTAACTTTTTAAATTCTAATTCTCATCACTATCGGAATTTCAAATGCAATCGATCTTTATCTTTTGGGGCATCAATTTTTACTTTGCATGTTAAAAATGATGAGATGAATTTGCTATTGAAGTGGATGATGGCAAAATGTTGAAAAATTTTAAGTAGCAAAATAAGAAGAGGGAAAATTGTTGTGTGACTGGCGTTGAGTTCATTTTTTTATTTTTAGAAATTGCCTAATTAATTTAGAAAATCAGAGAAACAAAACCATTCAACGCGTGTTTGTATAGCTGCGGCATATTCATCACACAACTATTCGTATTTTCTTTCGATCTACGAACGGTTTTGCGTGCGGATTTTGTGTTGTGGACAAAAACGCGTGGCCAGCGAAATGATGATAAGCTTTCCTTGGCCAGGACATAAATCATATATTATAGACAAATAGAAAACAGGCACAGCATTTGCATGGAGAGCGAAAGACAACATTTTCAATATCGCCTTTCCAAACATAATCTGTTTATGCAGTGAACAACATGTGAATATTTTTTTGGCGAATGTGCCAAAAGAAAAATATATAAAAAATAAATAAAATATAATGCTGCACAAGGCCAAAAAAAAGCACTGAAAAATTTTAAGATTTATGCTGGCATTATTTTTATATATATATTAAAAACGTTGTCAGCTCGTTGCGCAGGAAACGACAATTTTATGAATCATTTGCAGAGAAAATCTTTTGCAGAATCTTTCGTTTATCTTACTTGCAGATTCAATTTAGAGAAATTATCGCGCAATTATATATCATTTATAGAGCGCTACGACAACTAATAGATAAGTGATTCAGTGTTTCTTGACTAGCATCCAAATGCTGCTGCTGCTGCTGCTGCTGCTGCTGCTGCTGCTTAGTTGGGCCAAGTACATGAGAATTGACAGGTTGGCAGGCAGTTGGGTGCCCACGCATCAGAGCAAAGTGTGTCATCCAAAATGCTTTTCGAATCGGTGGGCTATAATTAGCCCCATCTGATAGTCAGGTATTGTTTGGTCAGTGTCAAGGACTTTAGTTTTGGACTAGTTTCGCTGCTAATGCTGTGTATGGCACCTTGACAGCCCAGCCCCATGGGTCCGTTAGCCCGAGTGTTTATTATGTCTGGGGCTGTCTTTGTGCAAATTTCTCGCATATTGCGCGGTTTGTTTCATTTCTTATTCTTGGCAAGCGTTCGCATTGCACAGCGACGGCTGAGCACTTTGAAAATTTGAAGAAAAATAGATAAATAAACATTGTACGAAATTCAAATAAATCGTTTATGAACAGCAGTCCAACAGCAGCAGCAACAGCAACAGCAACAACAACAGTTTTTCGGTCAGTCAGTCAGTCAGCCAGCCACCCACACGAAAAGCATCCCCCTTCCCCTTATTCGAGGAAAGAAATGTTTGTTTTAGCCAATTCTGATTTCTGATTTTGAAATATTATTATATGAAAAATCGTGTTTTAAAAACACTTGAATCTTCTAATGAAACGCAAAACATCTGGCACATAAACTATTTGACCTAATTCTCAGGCTCTCTAGCCATTTTATTATGCATAAATGCAAGTTAAATAATATATCTATATGAGACTGCTCTGTATTTAAATTTAATTTCATACGTAATTGACTAAGTTTTAATATTTGCACTTAAATATTAATGGTACACACTTAGTTTTTATGGCCTTGAGTCCCAATTATATAAACATAAATTGTGAAAAATGACTTCCTGTAAGCGAAAAGTTTATATTATTTATCCATGCGGTGCACATAAATCAGCTAAAAGTTTTAAATATAATTTTCGCGGACTGCGGATCGACGATCAGCTAGCGCCATCTAACGCTTGATTCCATTTCGAAAGCTTTCGAACATGCCGCACAGCTTTTTCGAACTGAGTGCGCACATTTCACCATAGAGAGCGCCAGCAGCATCTCTCTTGGCGCGAGTTCAAACAGCACGAGATCAGCGAATAGCTCGAAAGATTTCAAATAAAACTAAGTGGGGACTTCGTTTTGAATTGATTTATTTGAATTGTCGACAAAAACACAAGTAATACTATGCGCCCTCAGCATGACTGCGGCGAGGGCTATAAATTTTGATCCATGCGATAGCAGGACTCAAAATCAAGTAACAAAATTAGGGACACGCACACACAATAAAATGTAAAACTTTGGCATGAACAAATCATAAATAAATATATATATGCAAATCTCTCATTTAAATGTTTATCTTAATATCTAAATCCGCGATTTGTGCTCGAAACGCTCAAAGTTCCGCTGGTGCTGGCCGCGCCCAGCGCATTGCTGGCACTGCAAACGTAGCTCCCGTTGTCGTCTGCAATGAATCAAAAAGTTGCCGTGGTGGAGGCGGTGGGTGGGAGGAGGAACGATTAATGAGCTCGTCCGACAGTCGAATTGCAAATGGCTGGCAACTTACCCGGATAGGCCTGCGGCAATGTTAGGCGGCACACGCCATTCCGGTACTCAATGACATGCCGGCTGCCCAGCTGCAAATGGCCACCGTTGTGCGTCCAGTTGACCTGCGGCTGCGGATGCGCCTGCACAATGCACTCGAAACGTGCCGTACCGCCCACGCCCACTGCTATATCTTTCAGGGGCTGCAACGGAATTGCCGGGTTTTAGTTTAGTTGCGACTGAGGCAGCTCGGAAGACCAGACCCACGGGCCGGGTTAATGACTTCGCTTACCGTTATGAATAATGGCGGCCTTTGTGCCTGTTCATCGCGATTCAAATGGGCATTGACGGGCTCCGTATTGGGCAGTTCCGGCACTAATGAGGTTGAACAGCCATTAGAAACTGCAGAAATTTGCTTATAGCAGCATCCATTAGTGGGATTAACACACAGCAAGGCAAAACACAGCACAACAAACTTAACATTTGAGCATACTTTTCATACGATTTCTTAGTTTTTTGTTTTAATTTTTTCGATTTTTGTTTAAGGACTTTCACTTTAAACACAAGACACAAACAGAAATTGAAACATGCAGCAACAAAAACGAGCAAAACGTGGTTTAACATGCAATTTGACGGGGTTAGCTAAGAAGGCACTTAAGTTAAGTATACGCCACGTGGCAGCCGCTGCTAATGAGGACTAAGCAAAGCATTTGGCGGCGATCAGCAGCAACTTTCTGATTTATGTGTGATGAACTCTATTCAGTATATATGCATTAAGATAGCCTGTACTATGTGCATTTGTCGCAGCTGAAGGCTTGTCTGATTCAGAGATATTTCAGCTCTATGGGCCAAATGAGAGTCTCTAAATCAGGTATAGCTTAGGAGCATAGAATATAGAATGTTTTTGTAACAGCTACTCTCTCGTATAGTCAGTCTTATCAAAAGTATCCATCTTAACCCTAATCTAACTCTGGGTCGAATGCATATGCTTTAGCATTCATCACACAATTTAGCTGTTATAGGTAATGAATGGCTGCTGCTGAACGCCGTCAAGTTGTGCTAGCAACAACAACAATGACAATTTGTCCTAGACTAGTTGACAACATCGATAGTTAGCCAGCCAGCCGGCCAGCCAGGCTGCGAGCCTGATTGGTGGTTGGCTTGCTGCCAGCTGTACCTGTGCGCACTAGCTGATCGGGCGGCAGACGCGGCGCCTGCGCATGCAGCCGATCTAGATGAATGTCGAGGCTGTGGCAGCTGGGCAGGCTGTAGCGCTTGTGGGCGAAACGCGGCGCCATTGGCGACTTGACGCGCCCGTAGCTGCGACGCTGCGTAGCTGCCTCGCTGTCGGAGCTGTAGCCGTGAGGCATCGAGCCAGGTTGCTGACGGGTGCGCTCGTGCTGCACGGGTATTATCAATTCATTGCCAGCGGCAATCTTCAAAGGATACGGCGAATGGCGGCCATTATTGATGGAGCTGTGAGCGCCTTTGCTGTTCCACTGGCTGCTCACGAACTTGTGGCCCTCGCCGGGAAAGAGTATGCCGAACTCGTAGCCAAAGTCATATTTGAAATAGATTAAACCGGTATTGGGATCGACGCATTTGGTGCCTGGTTACGTTTTGTGTTGACAATTGGAAAGGTATATGTACAGAACTTAGAGATAGCATATACAAAATTCTTTCATGGGCAGTTAGTTGTCGATGCGAGAAAAGGCACTCCAAAATTAAAATTTCAAAATATTCAATCTCAACTTTCAATGCCAATTGGAATGGAACCAATGTGTTTTTCTTTTGGGTTTGGTTCGCCCATTTCTACAGACGTTTTAGTATCTAGAGTCTACGAAAGAAGCTTCACTGTACTCACCGTATTGCGACACTCGCGACTCATCTCTGTAGGCCTGCGGTTGATTGCTGCCCTCGCTTGGCGCACGCCGAAAGCCTGGACGCAGACCGCCATTCGAGCTGATCTGCTGGCTCTGCATGTCCCTGCTGACATCCTCGATGAACTGATGCGACTTCTGTAGGAACGAGGAGCCCATACGCTTGCCCTGACCCTCTGCCTGCTGCTGCAGTGTGCTGTAGCCATAACGAGGCAACGTGCCCGATCGCTGCTGCTGCTGCTGCTGCAGATCTGTCTGATCCTGCGACCCATCCGGCAAGCGATTGCCAAATTGCTGCCTCAAGGTGCTGTTGCGATTCAGCGACTGCGTGCGATGTTGTGTGGTCACAGTGCTGCCGCCACGCTGCTCCTTGCGCAGTGTACTCACATCCACAAATATCTTGCTAGGCATCTCCGGGCCACGATCGAACTCCATGGGCGAGAGCACGCGCTCGTAACTGCGTGGCAAGCTGCAGGAGCGGCCTCCAGACTGCGGTGCTGCCACACGACGGTAGCCCTTGGTCAGGCCATCGCCGTACGGCGACCAGAGTGGCTGAATGCGTGTGCCTTCTACTTCGCTCTCGTAGTCACTCTCCCGATACTCGCCAGGTATGAACTTGGTGGGCGTGGCCGGTGGTGGCAGATGCGACTGACGCGACGGCGTGCGACTGCCCGCCGGGCTGTAAGGAAAAGGCTCCTGAGCTGGCTGCTGCTGCTGCTGTTGCTGTTGCTGGTGTTGGTTGTCAAAGTGTATGACGCGCTTGGTCTGCTGCATGTTGACAACACGCTGAGAGCTCTCCGTAGACTCGTGCATCTGCATCACATTCTTCGTCTCATGGGCCACCTTAGCCATGTGCATTGGCGTCCCGGCAACTGCATTGTAGTACATGGTCGGCCGTGAGCTCGGCAGCGGCTGCTGCTGCTGCTGCTGAGTGGCGGCTATAAACTTGGCCGCCACCGGCTTGGGCTTGAAGACGGGCTGCGGTTGTTGCTGCTGCTGCTGCTGACTGCTCGAGTACTGCTTGGAGCTGCTCTCGGTTTTGATCTCGTGGCGTATCTCCTTGCCAATGGGCTCGAATTTGGGACGCCTAAAGCTGCCCACTTGCGGTGGCATCGGCTCAAACTCCATGGGCGATGGCGTCACCACCACCACCGGCGACTTGTGACCGTTGGCGATGTTGGTGCGCGGCGTGGGAGTTGGTGGAAACACCACGCGATAGCCCTTGATGTCCGAGTCGGATTCATTGGCTCGCGATACCGAACGGAAACGCTCGTCCACCTCGCTGCTGTAGTCGCTGAACTCCGCAGCGGGCGTCTTGCGCTGCGCCGGCACTGGGCTGGGCGTGACCAGCGGCGTGGCATTCGAGGAATACTTGGTCTCGTGATGTGTGGAGCTGCTGCTGCTCTGCTGCATATTGCTCGTCATGCTCGACGAGGTGTACTTGTAATTCTGTGAAAGACAAAAGCTATTACTAAGGGTCAAAGTTCAAGTTAAGCGAACAACGAGAAAGTGTTAGACATTCAGGCAAATGCATAAATATAATCAGAATAATGAATTGAGCTGAATTAGATACCTAAAACGGATGAACTGTAGAAAACGCAGTGTTAATGTGGCTTATGCTTGGGCTAATGAGCGTTAGAGGCAAGCCAACTTATGAATGTGGTTAGGCAAGGACAAACAACAAGAGAAGGTGACAGGGGGAACAGGACGCAGCCAGTTCCAAGTGCTACACATAACAACGAGAACGACAACGACAACGACAACAACAACAACACGTATTGCACATATACAGTACAGAGAGTAGTCTATGCGAACCTTCGCCTCCTGACTGTAGCTAGTTTGCTGTGGCGCCGCTGGTGGGGCAAAGTACAGCTGTGCTGGCGGCTCGGGCTGCAGCTTGGCTGCTGCAGGCGGGTTTGTTGTTGTCGATGATTTAGTCTCATAGAAGCTGCTCTCGGACTTGCGATAGCTAGAGTGCTCCTCCGTATCGGCCGCATAGCCACTCGACTTGAACGACGACTCCATGGTGGCCTGCTGCTGGCGTGCGCGATTGCCCGGCTCGTCGGACTCGCTGCCGCTGTACTTGTAGCGATCGCTCTCGTAGTCACTCTCATAGTGGGCGCCCAGGCGGTTGGGCATCACGGGGGGTGGCGGGCGGTAGCTGGTGGTGCCATTGGACTTGGGTGCCGTGACGGGCGTCAACGTGGGCACCGAATGGGGCAGCACCTTGCTGGGACCCTGCATGAGATTCTGTTCCAGTTTCTGCTCCATGCTCTCCACCAACGAATGACGACGCACTTCCTCTTGCTTGGGCGCAAAGCAAATCTCGGGCGGAGTGCCAGGCTCAAGCTCAACGGTGACCAGGCGCGTGACTGGCGCCGGAGTCGGTGGCGTGATATTCTTAGCCACCTGCTGCACCAGGAAGGGCGCATTTAGCTCCTTGGTGGGCGTGGGCGTGGGAAGCTTGGTGATGCTTATTTGGTGCTCTGTCTTCTGCTCCACATCACTCGTATAGCCAGCTGTGCCACTGGGAGTCCACAGCTTAGACATAGCCACGCCCTCAGCCGAAGGCTTGGGCGACGGCGAGCGCGTGTTCTGTTGGGCCGGCGTGGCTAGCACCGCTGCGGGGCGCACAATTGGCTGTCCATACTCCACCTTGACCTCCTTGGTGAGAGTTGTCTCGTGCTGCACACTCTGCAGATTTAGAGGTGGTGGAAAGACGGGCACACCACCCTGTGGTGGTGGCTCTCTGGGCTGCACTTCCTCCAAAATCTTGATTTTCTCGTGGATGAGCGGCTGCTTGGGTAGTTGCTTCTCCGATTTGGGCGTATAGCAAAATTCTGGCGGTGCTCCTGGTATAAGATTCAAGCTTCTCAGCTCCTCGGCCAGCGTTTGCGCTTGCGGCTGACGCACCACCGTCTCTAGGGGCCGTTGCGCCTGTGGTTTGGGTCGTTGTGTCACGGTTTCCTCATCGATCTTCTTGAAGTACTCAAAGGATGAGGACATTTTGTGTTCGTTGCTGCTGCTCTCGTATCTGGTGTTGATTTGCGTCTGCATCTGCGGTGGTTGTTGTGGTTGTGGCTGCGCCTGCGCCTGCTGGCCAAAAGCCGTGCCCACAACGGGCGCACAGGGCTTGGGTGGCACTGGCGGCGGGGTTTGTGTGACGCCAGTCTTATAACTGGTCTGTGTATCGGTCTGGTCCATGCTGGCAGTGTTGTTGGTACTGGTAGTGGTGGTGGTGTTGGTGGTGTTGGTGGTTGGTGTCTTTGGTCGCTGACTCAGCTCGGGCAGGTCTTGATATGTCGATTTGTGCTCTAGACGCATCGTTGCCTCAGTGGTGCAACGATGCTCAGTGATTACTTTCGACTCGGACAGGCCATGCAGATCGTTGGCAGTGGTTTCATCGGTTTGATTGGTCTGATAGGATTGGGGCTCTTTGTTGAAGTGGCTCTGGTAGTTGTTTACGATTCAATTCAGATATATATTTATATATATATGTGAGTGAGTATGTATGTTGTTGCATGAGAACCACATGAGTGTAATGAGCAAAGCGAAACGAACAACGTCGAAATCAATGAGAGAAGAAATTCACAAGATTTGTTTATTATAAATAAATAAATGTATATATATATATATATAAATCATGTCAAGAACGTAACAAGTCGAAGAAATATTATAGTATAAAGTAAAGAATTGAATTGACAATTCGATAAAGTTATATATATGGGAGGATAGACAGGTTGATAGATAGATAGATAGAGTTGCAGTCAGAGTATGATAAATACAAAATCGGATGGATAATGCAGTATCGTGTTTATATATTGAGCACATGCACACTTACTTCAGTTTTGAATTCACTGGCTGGCGCCTCATAGACGATGGTCTTGACCACCTCCTGCATGCGTTCTGGCGATGGCTCCAATATGACGCAGTCCGCAATGCTCTTGGCCTCGCCGCCAGCATTCGTTGCTCTCACCATATACTTGCCAGAGTCCGTTGTATGTGCTGCGTGTAAAGAAAAGCTAGCAAAGCCATAGTATTAGGGAAAGTTCAGGCATTCACCTTTCTCGATGATCAGCTTGTACGAGTTGCCCTGGGCAAGCAGGCGATGCTCAGAGATGCCAGCATCCTGGAGTGGTATGTCATCCTTTAGCCAGGTGACAGTAGGATCTGGCAGTCCAGTCACTTCTACCTCCATAATCAATCGCTCACCCTTTCTGCTAACCTGCGCCTGCAAACGACGACCGAAGACTGGCGGAAAGATGGTCTCTGCATGGATAGAAGAGGTCGAAAATTCGTTAGCATCGTTCGAATCGAGCAACAGTTGGGGTCCACATGTGTTGCGGTTCGCTGTGGCCACTTTCATTTGAAAGCCACAACACACACAGCTAATTCAATGAAAATAAATATTGGCTTTTGTATGTCATTGCAACAGAAGATCGCTGAAGATCTTGCAAAAATAATTTACTTGCACAGCCGTCCAAATGATCAGCTATAATGAGTAATTCGTGCAGACAGGCAGTAAAAATAAAAGTTTTTTCTCTTTTCAAACGGATTTCAACCACACAAGACGACAAATCCGGCCGCAAAAACTTGTGTTCAAGATAAATTTACATAATTATTGCCCACTTCATGCCCCCCTGGCAACCCAGCCCACAAGGCCCACCCACAAAATTAAAACCGAAAAATTATTTAGAAATTTCTGTGTAAGAAGCAAATAACAAAAAGAAAAACAAAAAGAAAAAACTGCTCGTTCCCGTTGCGTGCTAGAAAAATCATTTGAATATAAACAAAAGCAGCGACGCCACTAAAAACTCATCAATATGCGAAACGGTCGACATTGACGTTTGTGGATCTATTGACGCCCCCGACAATGACACTTTAATGCTCCCCACTGATTGATGTGGCGCACGGACAGACGCACGAAATATTGACATACGATATGACCCATATGTAGGCTCTACTTTTTAATGTTCTACACATTCGTTAGCTCATTAGGACTTGGAATTTAATTGAAATGATTTGTTAACATCAAATGTTAACCAGACTTTCTCCCATGCTATATATCTGTTCTGTTAATGCAAACAGTTAACAGCTGTAAGCTAACATACTCTTAACATAGCTCTCATTTCAAGTAGTTAATACTTACTTTTCACCACCAGATCCGCTGTGCTTGTTGACTGACCCGCCGCGTTCGAGGCTGTCACCGCATATCGTCCAGCATCGGCCACGCTCACGTCCTTTAGTTCAATAGTCACGCGATTGTTTTTGTTGGATATCTTGGTGTGCGGAGTATCGAACAGTTGATCGCCATTTTTCTCCACCTTGATCTCGGGCGAGGGATAGCTGTCATAGATGGCCTCCATGCTCACGTTGGCGCCCTGATCCACAATCTTGCCCGTTAGTGGTGTGGTGAAACGTGGCGCTATCTCCCTGCGCAGCCTCGTTGGCGACTCGGGCATACCAATTGCTGGCACTGATGCAGCTCCATTGGTGGACTGAACCAGCGTAAAGGACTTCTGTTGCACCGCGGGGCTGCTCATTCCTTTGCTCTTGTGCAGCTCCTGGTAGTGATGGCTCTCAACAATCTCGGGCCGCTGTTGTCCCAGCTGCTTCAGCGACTGATCAATGTGCGCCGAGGAATGATGTACCTCTGTCTGTGGCGCGTTGCCTTCATACGAGTTGACCTGCGACGTGGAGGTAGTGGTGAAGGTTTGCTTCTTGATGGTGACACGCGATGATTCGGTATTGTGCTCCTGTGTCATGGTCTGCAAATTACTAGAGGCTGGCACTGGGCTGCTGCCAATGATATTCAGGAAGGCCACACAAGTTGCTTTGCCTGCGTCGTTCTCGGCGGTGCAGCTGATCTTGCCTACGGCATCGTGCGTTAACTGCTGAATCGTCAACACCTGACGATCGCCGCTGGTGGAGACGAGGAAATTGTGACCGTGCACCGGCTGATCATTGAAAAACCAATGCACCTTGGGGGTTGGCTTGCCCACCACAATACACTCGAACTTGACCACATCGTCGATGTGGGCCTGCTTGTCACTGAAGAGCTCTTTGAACTCGGGGCACAGCTGTCGCTCGACGATCTCCACAGATGATTGACTGCTGCGACGATTCTCAGGGGCATTCACTGACTTGACAATTAGATGAGAGAAGCATTTGGCATCGCCCGCATTGTTCGAGACCTTGACCGTGTAGACGCCTTTGTCGCTGGCAGCCACGTTGTTCAGTATGAGCTTGAATATGCCAGCCTCGGCATCGGACTGCGTGGTGACGCGTTCGTTCAGCTGCAGCTCCTTGTTGGCCAGATACCACTGAGCTTTCAATGGTTGATCGCCGTTGGCGTGCACCTCTAGCACCACCTGCTCGCCCTCATCGGTCAGCACATCGGAGAGCAAACGCTCGAATTTGGGCTGCGACTCCTTGGGCACAGATTGCCGATCAAGCTGCACTCTAGATGCTGCCTCCGCGTTCAGCGAAGTCACCTTCAGATCACAACTGCTCGAAGCCTCGCCCGCTGAATTGATGGCAACCACCTTATAGTTGCCGCCATCCTCTTGGCAGACCTCCTGTATGAACAGCGAGCACCGATCGCCCTGGAATAGCAGCTGCACATCAGCCGACTCCTTCACGGGTCGCTCATTGTGATACCAAATGACCTCCGGCTCGGGCTGGCCCACAATCACACAGTCCAAGCGCACTGGCTTGCCCTCGAATATGAAGACGTCCTTCAGCGGAATATGCACCGCCGGACGGATGGGCTCGATGTCGCTAGCCATCTCAGAATCGGACGTCTCGTTTGGCAGACGACCCTTGACAATAATGTTGCAACTGCTGTAAGCTTCGCCAGCCAAGTTCTTAGCACTCAACACGTAGGATCCGGCGTCGTTTGGATAAGCTTGCGGTATTGTAAGCGTAACGCGTCCGTTTTCGTACTGAAATTCGTTAAAAAAAATATTGAAATATGTTAAGCGTTGACTGCGCGAACTTCACCACATGGTGAGTTCGTCGGCAACGAGGCCGTGTGTTGAGTTCCTAGCTAATGGCTAATGCTGTCCAATTTGTGCCAGTTTTTGTGTGCTTTTCTATGGTTTTTTGCAATTCAATTTTCAATTTTCATTCCCAAAAACTTATTTATGTTTGGCGCACGGATGTACAATCCCGCCTATGTCTGTGTGCTGCGTATCCGGCGCGGGCGTCTACTGAAAAATAAAATAGTGGATGGGCAGGGGCAGGGGCAGGGAGCCAAGGTAAGTTCCATAATATGCGTCTGACGTGCTGTTTATTTGATAAAGAAACTGGAAAATTTGGTTTTGTTTAGGCAACTAAATTGCAGGAAGCGTCTGAGTTCAGGTGTTGTGCACCACTTGAGGCTGAACAATAGTCGATTGTATATGGAATCGATTTAATTGTTTAATCAGCTCGACGCAATGAGATCATGTTTGGTTTGTCAAAAAGGCAATTAAAAGCAATGAAATCATTTTGAATTTGGCCAAAAGCGTTGATCTCTATAAAAATTAAATGAAATTTTTAAAGCATACAGTATACACAGTAGATATGTGTGTGTGTGTGCGTGTGTACATATGTTGTGCCGAATAACGGCGCCCACAATAAACAAATTGGCTGACAGCGCCCACGAAAGACGACTGTGGTGAATTGGATTTGCGCCGCACCACACGGCCGCACGGCTCGTTGCAACTGCGAGACGCTGCTGCCAAAAACACAAAAAAATTATTGCAGCTCTATGGCTGGGGACTTCTTAGCCTGTAATTTATAGTTGTGCAGTGTATACTATGCGTCGGCTTATTTTTAAAACATTTGCCTTGAATTTTATAGTTTATCTTTCATTTATATTTTCACTCAGTTTCATTTCTGTCTTTTTTGCAACACGCTAATGATGAGGCCCCCTCCAGCACAACTAAGCGCTGACGTCAGCAGCGAAAGCGAGTCAAGAAATTAAACATGTTCATTTAATATTCTATGGAACTATCACATATTCATACGCACACAGCTATTGTATACGAGTATGTATGTTGCTTATGTATTTCGTATATGCAACGCCCACCGCAAAATTTCTGACTGTTTTTTTGCGCAATTCCAGCAAAGTTTGTTTATACTATATATAAAGCCGTATATATCATCTGCGGGATCGCGCCATTGGGGAATCGTGCGCTGTGCCATTTCTTTTTCGCAATATTCAAATATGCATATATTTATTTATGCCAGACAGAATGAGGGTAACAGTTGGGCATGGAATTTGCCAAAACAGAGACGCACATAAAGAAATGCTCGTCCCAGGAGAAAGACATGGACCGCAAGATGACCTCGAAATTATTTGAGTAGCGGACAACTGGCAATATTTCAGCAAGAGTATCTGAAGTTCGCATTGCTCTAAGAATTTGCTTACAATTTTCCTCTATGACTAGTAGAATTTTCCCCAAATGTCATTAAAGTTTTTACTCACTTTTGAGTCGCGTGGCTGAAATGGTTTGCCATTGTGTAGCCAGCAGATTTCGGGCTGCGGTATTCCGGTGACCAAGGCCTCCATCTTGATTTTCTGTCCAACACGCGCCATTGCGTTCTGGAGCGGCATCTTGAAGCAGGGCAGCTCAGTGGGTTCTAATGCTGCAAACACGATATTGTGAGTTAACTCAGCCCTAGTTATAAATGTTTACTATGTTCCAACTTACGTTCAACAATCAAACTAGCCGAGCAGTGTTCTATGCCAGCGGGATTCGAGGCGCTACAGGTGTAGACGGCATCATCCTCGAGGAACACCTCGTCGAAGCGCAGCATGGCCTCGCCATTGTTATAGCTGATCACATAGTCCGGCGAGTCGTCGATGCATTTGTCGTTCTTGAACCACTGCACGGTGGGTAGCGGCACACCGCTGACCACGCACGAGAACTGGAAGGCGGTGCCTTCGGTGGCCTTGCCGCTCTCCAGGAAGCGCAGGATGCGCGGCGGCACCAGCTGCAGCTCGGCGGCATTCTCGCGTACCGTCAACGTGGCATTGGTGTCGCAGGTGCCCACAAGATTGGAGGCGCGGCAGCTGAAGCGTGCCGTGTCCGCGGCAAAGGTCTCCTCTATGACCAATCGGCAAATGCCCTTGTCGAAGCTGGTCTTGTAATCCGCATTGCTTTGAATGCTGATGCCGTCCTTGAACCACTCGACGCTGGGCTCTGGTGTGCCCGTGACCTCGCATTCGAATACGAAGCGTTCGCCCTCGCGGGTCAACGCATCCTTCAGTGGGCGCACGAACAGCGGCGAGGCGTAGCGCAGCTCCGTGAAAATCTGGTTCACCTGAATGTCTTTGCGTATGTTCTCCGTGACGGTGCGCTGCTGATCGACCTGATCGCGCAGCGTTTGCAGGCGCGTTATTTCCTCGCGCTGTATGCGCAATTCATTCTCGCGCTTTTGCCTGGCCTCCTCTTCGCGCTGCAGCCTAGTCTCCTCTTCGCGCCTTAGCCGGATCTCCTCTTCACGCTTTATTCTCAACTCTTCCTCGCGTTTTATATGCAGACGCGCCTCCTCATCGCGCAGCGCCTGCATGCGCAGCTCCTCCTCACGCTTGGCTATGTCACGCAGCGTTTGTATGCGCTGCTCCTCCTCGCGCGCAGCCTGCTCTCGGGCCAACTGCTCCCTGGCCGCCTGTTCGCGCACGGCCTGCAGACGCGCCTCTTCCTCCCGCACCGCCTGCTCGCGCAGCGATAATTGTCTGGCCGCCAGCTCGCGCTGCGCCTGCTCAATGGCAGCCTGCTGACGTTGCGCCTCCAGACGCGCTTGCTCCTCGCGTGCCACACGCTCTCTGGCCTCTGCCTCACGAATCGCCTTCTCTCGCTCGGCCTGAGCGCGTGCCTCGCGCTCCCGTTGGTCACGCTGACGCTGTTCCTGGCTCAGACGCTCCTGCACCGTGTTGATGTCCGTCTTCAGTTTGATAAACGATTGGAAAATATTCATCACGTCGTTGTAGAGCGTTGAGACCTTGTTCATGTCGTGCGCACACTGCGAAGCGCTGTCCAGCTTGGAGCGCAGCGCTGGCTCTCGAGTGGTCACATATTTCTCAATGTCATTTACCAGATTCGAGGCTTCGACGGCATCGCGTAAATAGGGCACCTTATTGGAGACGCTGTTGTAGAAGTAGCTGATCTCGCGGTACTCCGCATCGATCTGCAATGGAGATACGAAATATGATGAGAGAGGCACAATGGGCTTATTTCTGGGCTTACCTTCTCGACCACCTCGAAGAACTCGTTAGCCTGATTGAGGCTCTTTCGTTTCTGCTTCACTTGATCCTTGAAGCTCTGCCATTTATCGTTGAGCTTGCGCAGCTCGTCCTTCACATACGCTTCGCTCTCGGGATTGCTAATGAACAGCTGCTGGCTCGTGGTCTCTGTAAACTTCTCGATGCGCTTCTCGAGCAGCTTGGGAAATGGAAAGAGTCGAGGGCATATTGTTTAAAAAGGCTGCCAAAAAAAATTTACTGCAGCTCATTCGCTAATTAACCCATTAAGCAGCCGCAGCTAAAACAAATGTCTGGGCAAATAGGCACACAAGTGCAGCCGCAATGAGCTTAAAAGATATAGATGCTTTAGCATGTGCTGCCTAGGCTAAAAGTCCATAAAAATCACAACGTCAAAAGCAATTTATAACAGCAAATGTGCAGCTAAGAGGAGTGTATTTCAAAACAGCCAAGTGCCAAGCATTCAAATATTCATATCTCTAGCTGTGTATCTGTATCTTTAGCTGTGGCTGTATCTGTATCTGTATCTATATCTATATCTATGTCTGCCGCACTAGCTGCAAGATGTATTTCTCAAGTTTTTAATTACAAACTAACGACAGCTGCCGCTGTCCGTTCAACATTGCGCTGACAGCGACAACATTTTGAAAGCTGAATTTGAATTTGTACTTATTTTCGAAAATGTCTCAACGCATTTGGAAATTTGATGAATGTGCCGGGGCTGCTTCCATACGGAAACCATGTCGAGATGTGGCCACCCAAAATGAGCCGACAGGCAATGCAAAAACCCAGGGAAAGGGACAAGCAACTCTTGCCACATGCATTGGAATGGATTACAACTAGGTCTTCATAGTGGCTACCTCTAACGTATGCGCTGACTGGCCCCAGCGTCGCTGATGAGGCGTCGATTTCACGAATCTGGGCATTGAACACTATAAGATTGATGTTAGTATTAAATTCCTCGCAGCTGAATCTATATGTTAGCCAAGAAGAAGAAGAAGAGGAAGGGGAAAGAGCCCCTCACACACATCAAGTAGAGTTCACTCACCTCTATGGTACGTTCAAAGTATTCGAATGCCAGCGATGTAGTCTTGGCAGCTGCTAGACTATCCACACTCTGGCCATTAATATCGTGCAGCTGCTTGCTGACGCTGTCCAGACTGCGATCGATATCCTCCAGGTCGCTGCGAAACTGCTCGATCTTCTCGAGACGCTCCAGAGTGGACATTGTGGCGCTGCTATTCGACTCGAAGTGAATGCGCAAATTCTCCAACAACTTCAAAATGCGATCAGTGTCGATTTCGCGAGCGCCCGGTGGCTCCAATACGCGCACACGATCGATCAGCAGTTCGGATTGTGTGATTAACGATCTAAATTTATCCATGCACTGATCGCGGAATTTCTCATGCTCGGCTATGGTGCGCTCCACGCCCGAAGATGGGCCCGTCGCGCTCGACTGCTGTTTGGCAAAATACCCATCGATCTCTCGGCGCAGCTGCACGATGTTCTCGAGGAACTGCAGCACGCTCTCCAGCAGCGTGCGATAGTCGTACTTGATGCCATCCAATTTCGCCTTCAGCATGCGCAAATTGTTGATCACCTGCTCGATCTTGGTCAGCGATTGCTGATCCTTGGTCTGTATGCTCAGCGTCGTCTGTATGCGCTGCTGTATCTCCTCCTGGGCGCGCTCTATGTCCTGTGTCACATAGCTGAGCTTCTCGCGTGTGCTCGTCAGCAGCTGCTTGGAGTCCAAGCTGGATGTGCTGAACACCGGATACAGCTGTGTGTCCACCTGCGTGCTCTTGGCCACAGTCTAAGAAAATGTGCGAAATATTAAATGGAGAAACTCTCTGTCGACTCCACAGCCACAGCCACATTACCTCCTCGTTGTCACTCATGACTTTCTCTAGCAGATATTCTACTTCGCGCTTTTCCGCAATGGTCGTTGTCCAATTTTCCAGACTGCTCGTCACGTCGACTTGCCGCTTACTGAAGCCGTTCAGCGTCTCCTCCACTGCCTGCACTGAGGGCTTCGTCTCGAGATATGGATCCACAATCTACGCAGCGATGTCGTTAAAAATAGCATAAAATAAAATCAGTTTCAGTTTGTTTCTATTTCTTTCAGTTTTCTTGTTTTTTTTTTTTTGCCTTTTATTTTAGTTTTGCGTTTGCCTTTTTGGCTTTTCTATAATTTCTTGCTCAAGTGTCTTGGCTGACAAGTTGGAAAATTCGTGGAAAGCGCGTGGCACGTGGCACGCATCTGCCTGTGATCAGGGTCTGACGCGTTCTGGCACACAAGAGTCCAGGCCACACCAGACCAGAACCCAACCGAACCAAGATACGTCTCTCTATCTATAGACAAGCAGCGCAAATTGCCTGTTTTTATTTATGGACCCAACTCGACTCGAGGCGTTGGCAGCCAAGCGAATTTTCTAATTTCAAATCTTTGTATGCGACTGCCGCACTCTGGCGCCTCTCGCCACCCCTCCTTCATGTAAGAGGGGAAAATGGCTTGTCGTTTCTCAAATATATGTTTATGGTGTGGCTATAGCCAGCCGAAATCATATTGTTGGAAATTTATGTGCCCTAGCTGGCAGGTACAAAGCAGTTGCTGCATAACTTGGCTAAGATGCAATCAACACTTGAATTATATATTCTCTTAGCTCTCTATGGAAGATACTCTTCTTAAGCTGTTGATGGATATCTTAAGGAGGTGCGAGGGAAATTCCAAATTATGCCAGACTAAAGATGTCTGGGCTAATGCTCTTGAAATATAATTTATGAGACATTATTAAATTAATTTTTATATGATTTCTATAGCTTTTCATTTGGGAAATTAGTCTTCACTCTATCGATAAGTAAGCTTCACTTATTTGCAAGACAATCTTAAAGTCTTTCCTCACTGATTATTTGTCTGATATGCCCAACTCTTTGAGTTAGAGTAACTGCTGGGATAGGGGATAAGCATAAACAAAGCCAGCGACCAATGTACTTTGGTTTTTGTTTTGCAAATTTGCAATGAGCGCTAAATATAGCAAGCGTGGCAGCATGTTGGAGCATATTAGTCTGCTCTGGATCTGACAGACAGTCTGAAAATTTGCCAGCCGTCAGCAGCTGACATCAGCGGTTAGTCGAATGAAACTCATGCAAAGCCCTGGCCTGACATTAGAGAATTCCAGCTAACTAAATATACCAATAAGAGGCCTATCCTATAAAGATAGCGATACAGACTTTTAGGCTGATGAATCGCTGGCCGGATGACTTGAGTTCCGCGTAGCTGGCGGCAATGTTGGCCCATGTGGCCTGTAGGAACTGCAGCTTGTGCTCGTCGGGCGTTTGCAGTAGCTGGCGCTGCAAATGATCGAACTGACTAGAGAGCTCGTTGGCCTGCTCGAAGAACTCGATGAGCAGCGACACGTAGTCGACGCGCTTCAGCACCAGATCCTTCAGCTCAATCCAGTGCTTGTGCAATGCCTCGGCCTTGGAGTCCACATCGAAGCGCTGCTGCGGGCTCAGCGACTCTAGATGCTGCTTAATGGACTCCAGCAGCAGATTGATCAGCTCGCCCTTAATCTGTGTGAGCGTAAGGGTAAGGGTAAGTAAAGTCCACTACGAGTTGCTCATTTTGCTTACCTCCAGATCCTGCATTAGCTCATGATGCTGCAGCAGAAACTGTTTGGCCTGATGCAGATTGCGACCCATATTCACGCTCTGCTGCAGCTGCAGCTGACCAGAGGCACGCAGCCAAGCGAGCAGCTCGTTGTGTTGCGAGAGAAACTCGGTTAGAGCTCGTTGCACTCGCTGATGATCCTCGCTGCTGTTCGCACAGATGCCCTCGATGTACGCCTTGCGGTTCTCCAGCTCGTCCAGCACACGTTTGATGCCCTGTGTCTCGGGCTGTGTGCGTCCCACCTCGTCCAGTATGCCATAGCCCAGCCGCAGCGGCTCCTCGGTGAAAGTGCGCACGTCTCGCGACACCTTGGCGAACATGGCATAGCTTTCGGGTGAATTGGGCGGCAGCTTGACGCTGGCCAGCTCCAGTTCCAGCTTCTCCAGCACGCTCAGCGTATGCTCCGCTTTGGCAAAGAAGTCGCGTGACTGTTGCAGCCAATGCTCACGCTGATCCACCAAATCTAGGTGCTCTGTGCAGATGCTGAGCACAGCATAGGCACGAGCGCAATCCTCATCGCCAGCAAAGTAGCCCGGCGCCTGAACCTTCTCCTTGGCGCGCGTAATCTTGAGAGCACGATCGCGCAGCAGCAGCGCCTGCTGCTTCCACTCCCGATACTTGAGCAGCGTCTGATTGGCCGTGTGCTCGCACTCGCCCAGGCTGTACATTGTGTTCAGCTCGTGCTTGGCCTGCTGCAGTGCTGCCTCCAGCTCGATTAGCTCGCGGCCAAGCAGCTTTAGGGCCAGACACTGTTCCAGCTGTGCCTTGCGCGTCTGCCAGGCCAGCTCCAGGGAGTTGCGACGATCGTGCAACGCTTCCAGCCACTGCTGCACCTGATGCACAGCTCGAGTTGCATCGCGTTTGATGTGCTCCGGTCGTGTGTCCAGTGTCTCGAGCTTCTCCAACTCCTGCAGCTGGGACAGCAGCTCGTTGCCATCCTGTAGCGCCGCCATTACGCCGGTCAGCATGTCGATGCGCAGCTGTTTAAATTTGTTGAGGAACTCCTGAACGCCAGCCACCTCGGCGGGCAGCGGCGCCTCGTTGCAAGCCCCCTCCAGCTGATCCATGCGCCTGAAGCACTGCGTCATCTTGTCGTGAAACTGTGTGCACAGGTGCAAAATGTGCTGGCGATCCTGCAGCAGATTCAGTATATCCTGCCAAATGATGTTCAGTGTGTCGGCCATGGCATTGACTAGCTCCGAGCTGATGCGTTTGCTGGCCAGCAATTTGTCGGCCTTCTGCACGAACTCATCCATGGGCCCAGGCAGGTTCTACCAAGGATTACGAAGAAGGTTGTTATATATGCGAGACTGTTCAGTTTGTGCGTCTAGTTACCTGTAGATTACGCAGCGTCTCATCGTGCTCCCTTTGCATGTGCAGCGACTCGTCCAGATTGTCGCCGAGCGCTGTTATTTTTGGCTCCAGCTCCACAACTTTGATGTAAATCTTTTCGGGACTCTGCAAGTTGGGTTTAAATGAAAAAGCTATATAAGCAAGCCAAGCCAGCTATACTGCTTCAAAAACTATGAACTGCTTATAGTTTATGACTCTCTAAAGTCTATGGACCTTACTTGAATACATTCTCGAAAAGAAATGGCAACCTAAAGGAACCTATTTGATTGAATAGTTATAGAAAAGAAAGAGCAGTTCAGGAATAAAACTTAACCCTTAGCCTCATAAATGTGCCTATTTTAAATATTATTCAGAGTCACGTTCACGGCCTTCTGCTGCTCAGTCGGACTCGAAGCTGCGTTCTCATTCATGAAACTAGTCGTTGACAGCGTCGCAGATCTGCCGCGAAACCTGCTCAGGCGACGACAATGCTGCACAGCAGCTTCTAATTTTGGTAGTTGTCGAGTTATCGATGCACAACAACAACAACAACAACAACCAGGAGAATAACAACAGTTCCCAGCTCTATTGGAGCCTGTGTGTGATTGCAATGAAGGTCAGCTGCGACTCTATATGGTAATGGCATCCGTTAGTTTTTCCTGTTGGGATGCGCATGTGTTGATATGTATATGCTTGTTGGAATACCCCAGCCAGCACCGCCCCCAGATGCAGTGGCTGCCTGCTCCTCCTGCTGCTCGCGCATATTTGGCCTGAGTTATGTGGTTCCAGTTTGCTGGAAGAAAAAGTGCCACATGTCGGAGCATGGAGAACATTTCAGCTGTTGCCTGCCTGCCAGCCACGCGCAGTGAAAGCCACTCGCTGACATTTTTTAAGTAGCGTCTGCCCCATCAAATACTTAAGAGGCCCATGCGCGTGGGTGTCAATTCGTTTGACAGTCACGGAAATCTCTAATGTTTTTATACGCGTTTTCCTATAGGGCTCTTCGTTTCGTTATTGTTATTGTTATTGTTTTTTATGTTAGCGTCTCTTAACCATATCTGGCGCGGAACGCATCGTTTAGCTGTCTATTAAATTGAGCTTTAATTTGTTTGCTGTGGGTCCACAGCGTGCGCAGCTGCCGTTCCCAAATGCATACGCTCAAGATCAACCATCTCACTAATGACCGTAATCAATCAATTACAATGAAAACTAATAACCGTGCTATTAGACTGAAATTACAACATTGGCGCCCAGGGGCATTCGGCTCCCCAGCTCCAGCTAGACTAGTTGGACGTGAGTGAGTTTTCAATATGCAAAAATAGATGGCTGCGGATAATTCAAGTCGATGTAACGGGCCACGTTACACCAAAATACGAATCACGTCAGAGTCGACTAACTGAAATGTGAACCATATATGGTATGACATCACTATAGGCAGCCATAGACCATAACTATATTCATGCACTCATACATATATGCGATATATTCATACGCGACTCTGCGCACGGCGCTTCATTCATTGCAACATTTTAGTTGAATCATATTTCAGAGTGCCGCACGCAGCGGGCCATTTCAACTGAGCGTGTGTGTGTGTGTGTGTATTTTGGCCATTTATAAAGAGAGTTTGGACACCATTTGGCTAAGCTCTGGTAACGAGACGGAAGTCTAAGACGATCATGTCAGTAGGATACAACGATGATATAATACCCAAGCGCTCCCATGGGCAACAGGGTATGTCCAGCTGTCCGTCCGTCCGTCCGTCTGTCTAAGTCCACTTCTGAGGCGCTTAGCCCCAAACACGTTTTTGGCTTTTAAATTAATACTTTGTGTCAGCGGGTAGAACACGATTTCGATATAAAATTACCTTGACGTGGTTATCGTTTGTATGAAATCATTGCGCGCTTTTATTTTCATTTTTTTCTCTCTCTTTTATTAGTTCGCAGAGCCCGGCTTTTTGTAAGCCGATGCTGTTTGATGATTTGATTGAGTATCTCGCCAGCTCTGCACGCGTTGTAGCGTGGGCGTTGGCGGATTCTTATTGGAAAACGTTTGCAATTTCAGCAATTGGCAATCCGCGACACGCGACTGGCCACAAACTGAGAACTGCCTGACAGACTATCTACAACTGAGTCAAAGTTAATTTGTAGTAGCATAGAGTAGTACCTTCAGATCTATCTAATATATACTTGGATGCTCCCAATAGGCAGTGTATGAGCTGCATATCAATGAAATGGAGTCCATTAAAAAGACATAAATCAATCATTCACTGACCCGCACTCACTGCCAATTGTAGAGCATATAGATTTAAGAGTTTGGACAAATAGCCAAATGCTATAAAAACCACATTAGCATTGGCATTAGCATTAGCTCTAGCGTATTGTGTATGTGTGAACTAAACAACAATTTTGAGATTTAGCAAATACGCATATGCAAATGATTTGTGGGACATTGTTATTGTTTTTTTAAATATCCATTTCAATGGGTAGTGAAGGGGTATATTGGTTGGAGGTCTCTTCAAGTATCAGAAGCAGGTAATGGCTTGTCATGTGCAAGCTGAATAGATCAAGGTATGACTTAAAGTGAATCAGTTTATCTCAATTAATTTTTAATTAAATGGAAATCAAAGAAACTGCGTAGATTGATAACTCATTAAGAGGGTATCCCCCACATCTACAGCTATTGTAGAGCATTGGGCCATCAGTTATAGCCGTTCAGCTTGACTTGATTTCTGTCATAAAACATTGTTTTATTTTTTTTCCATTAATTTGCATTGTGTCAGCTTTAATGATCTAACAAAGGTTAGCTCGCGTCGCTTGCGTGTGATGTCAGACTTCTATTAATACACGTAGAATAAACAAAATAAACATCAAATATGTTTCAGTTATTTCTGGGCTATGTTTGTTTCTCGCACTTGCCTAGTTCCCAGGCAGCAGCTGCTGCTGCTGCTACCTATGGGAGAGAGCTAGAGAGAGAGTGTGTGAGAGCGAGGCTCGCTGCAATCGCATCGCTCCAATCGAATGCAATTTAAATTTCAATTTAATTCGCAACCAGGCGAGAGATAATTTCTATAATTGTTTGTACAAATTGCTAACCACGACTCGCAGCAGCGGGAGCAGCAGCAGCAGCAGCAGCAGCCGAAAGCCGCAGTTGCGGCAGCCACCGTCGACTTTCATTGAACATTTATCGGTAAATATCAGTTTTCATGTAAACATGCAATACATTTCGCATCTACCCGAAAACCAGAAAACGTGCCTGGTAATTACGGCAGCTGCTCTGCTCCACAGATAACTTGGCTAGCAGATGCAGCCGGGCTCGAATGCAGGCTTGGATGCCTCGGCTGCTGCTGGGGCTGTTGAATTTATGCCGCTGCCTTCGATTATCAATCAGTGCGTGCCAAAACTGTTTTGTCAGCTGCGCAAAGTAGGAGCTGCATTAGCCCCGACGATAGACGATAGCCAGCTGCCAAAGCGACCGGCTTGGCCGCGTTTGCCAACCGGCAACAGCGTCTGCGCATAGAATACATTATTTAACATCTCTTGCTTTTTAACATCGGACATGTTGACAATGTCCAGCGCCACCTCTTGGCTTGTGCATACGGCCAGCTAGGGCTGCACACTCAGATTTATGCTAATCCCACTTGGTTGTTCGAGTGACTAAAATGCAGGCTCAGAGCATAACTGGATTAGAAGGATATATGCAGACTAACTGATACTCCAAAGCTGATCAAGTTGACCTGCTATCGATGGAGCTGCCCAACTAAAAGCTAAGAACTTGACCAAAACTCCAGCTTAAGTTATAGTCTAATCAGAATCCAAGCACAACTGTAATTTAAACGGAAAAGGGAATAAATTTTCCTCATTTTCTATATCGTATGTATCTGTATCGTATGTAACTTTCTTCTGTTATCAAAGCTTTGTCAAAATTGTAATTGCAAATTTATATCTCTTCAGTTCGTCTTGCCATGCTGTGACTTTTATGGCTTTACTTTTGAGTGCATAATCAGACAGCAAATCACTGGGATCACTGTGCAATAAATCACAGTGACAATCGTGACTGGCCGTGATTTTCGGTTAGCCCAGCCCTCGTCGCAAGTGCGAGTGGAATGCGCAGCTTTTCATGCGTAAATTTATGTGCCTGCCAAGCGTCGTAAACATTTCTCTAACTTGGCACACGGCTTTCTTTTGCCAGGCCCGACTTCAGCTCCAGCTCCAGCTACAGCTTCGGCTTCAGCTTTGACGCTGACGCTGACTCTGGCTGAGTGTCCATGCTTTGCGCAGCTGCAGCGTTTCACCCACGCCAGCCCAAAGCGACGGCACATAACTTAGTCTCACACAGCTACAGAGCTGGGTGTGCGAGTGTGTGTGCTGCTCATATGTCTGCGCAATTTATGAGTGAAAAGCTGCGACTTTTACAAATGAAAATGCCATAAATTCAATTAGTGGCGCTGCCCTGGTCCATAGCTGCGCTTCAATTGCAAATCAGAGCGAATCAACAATCAGCCATAGATCTCAAGTATCTTCAGTCGCACAAAGCAGGTCGCCTTTGCGCACCAATTCCTCCTACATACATATATTTATAGCCATCAAACGGTCTTAACCAATGCTAATGCCAAATTAATTTCGCGCATTAGTTCCAATTATGGAGCAACTGGAGGCGTCTGCACGCTTGGCACGCTTCAGAGAACTATTTATTTAGAGTAAGTCTAAGCGAAATACGTAAATCTTAAAGGCCCCCTTTGAAGTTAGCTTCTTGGTCTGTTTGCTTTATTTTCCGTCCATTTTTTGACCAGCCCGTGGAATTTACTTGGGAAAGAAACTAAACAAACCGAAAGATACAATTTGTATCAATTGTAAATATTTTTTTATAGAAATGTTTTCATTTGGAGCATGAAAGCTACAACAGCAAACAGTGCGACCAAGATAATAAACTTAAAGCCATTGAGATTGAAGTGTTGCCCAAGAGTTACATGTGTTTGGTAAATGAATTTCATTGGCCAAGGGTTGGGCCATCATTCAGATGGCAGATACGTAGCAAAAGATGCTGATTTAGATTGAAACATAAAATGTAAATCATGTCGATGAGTTACGAGACTCGGGAGGCTCGCAGTCACGCAGTCTCGGAGTCTCTTGGCCAACATATTCTTTAAATGGGCAACAGAAGAATTTCAACAAAATTATGCCATAGAGGAAGCAGTTGCTGTTATCTTAACAATTGCCATCACATTGTTTGTATGACAGAAATTGCCTTTTCAAATATTCAGCACAGCTGCTCTTCAGCAGCAAAGTTGGTGCTGAGCAAACGCAATCAAACTTACGCAAACTTCGAAAAGAAAGAGTTAAATATTTATCTGTAACTGAAACTTTGACATATGCATAAGTACTCGAACTTATTAACATAGTTACGCAGCATGGAAACTTACTGCTGCCTCAATCTTTTCACAGACTATCCATAACTTTGGATGTGCTTCCGCCCCCAATACGCGTTCTCAATCTCCTCCTTTCAGCATAACAATAACAAACATAACAATAACAGAAGAAACAACTGAGCTCATCGAAAAGCATCTTTAAGCATATGCCACGCCTATTGTTATAGCTGGCGTACTTGTATGTATAGCTACACACATCTGTTTGCTGTTTTTTGGGAATTTTATTTTGACTTTGTTCTCTCGAAGTCAGCTAATTTGTTTACCTGCTTGCTGAACTAAAATGCTTTCGTGTGTTTTTTTCAACACTGCGAACACTGCAACAGGTAAGTCCTCGACAAATCAATTTAACTGTTGCCAGCGTGTGGGTGGGTCTACAACTTTTCATATTATTTTCATTTCGTAGAATTTTTTGAATGTATTTGCCAAAATATGAAAACGTGCTGAAAAGCGCTTAACAAACTGTTCCTCCACTGACTCATGCGTACCGAGAGAACGTAGCGCGAAATATATAAATTGTGTAAATCAAATCAAATGCTAAACACATGGAGAGTGTTCAGATTGGGCAACCCATTCAAATTGCTGTCGAAAAAGTGGCACAAAGTGGCCAAAAAAATTTCAATGAGTTTTTGCCAAACGAGTTGAATGAACAACGAAAAAAAAAACAGAAAATACTAAAAAATACATATACACGCCCGTGGCATAAAACTTTGACGTCTTCTATAATTATTGAACCTTGTCTGGCGCATGAAACGCTCCAAACTCAAGTTCAGGCCACAGATTTTTGGCTACGCATGTGAGGCCCTAAAATTTCTCATTGATTTCTTGTTGGTGTTGCTGTGGTTGGTCTTCTGCTGGGTTACCCGTTACCGTTTTCACTCTGTGTAGCACTTATTTTTTTATATATATTTTTTTTATATTCTTTTGGTCATGCAGGTAGCAGCTGCGCCTAATTGACAAAGTATCTTGCAGATACATTTCTTTTGTCACGTTAGAACGCGCACGCTCGCTCCGCTGATGTCAGACAACCTTGAACCCTTTTGTTTTAGTTTGAAACACATACGCAGAGACAGACACAAGTAAATAAATACACACACTACTCAAATGAGTGCTATCAACAACTTTTGCTTTCGTTGTGGGGCGCTCAATGTGCTAATTGGCACGGAAATTATATTAAAGCCGGTTTCAATCCAATCAAGCAACCAGTTTTCGGCATTAGGCGAAATAAAAATCAAATATTTGAGTTTTATTTTGAATTTTTCTGATTTGTTGTGGAGTTTTTTTTCTTATTAGCCTCCCCAAGAGAGGTAGCGTATTCAAAGTAAATCAGTTATGTGTTTCAAGTGTAATGATGCCATATCTGGGGTAAATGTTTGTTTAAAGTGATACCCAAAAAGGGATAAATTCGGCCAGAGAAACAAAGAGGGAGAGAGAGAGAGAGAGAAAAAGAGAAGGGAAGCATACAAAGTTATTCTGCAATAAGAAATAAAAGTAAGAATGAAAGGTTCATACACTAGAAAGACTAATGCATAACTGAAGAAGGAATCTGCAAGATTGGGTAAAAAGGGATACAATTAAAAAGAGATAGAGTAAAGGAAAGGAAAGAGATAGAGAGTGAGAGAGAGGGAGAAAAAAGAGGAAAAACAGATCAATTAAGAGAAAGGAATAGAAACTTCAAGCCAAAAAGTGGCAGAATCGACAAAATGAGAAGGACAAATAAGCATTGCAGTTGAGGGACTCGAAAAGAAAAATAGAGAAAAACTCATATCAGCTATGCAACAACAAACATCTCTCTGAACAACATATATATCATAGAAGGAACATGAACATGAAGATCTTCACGCTTTTTGAGGTCATGAAAATCGCCTAGAAGGGCAATAAACTACGCTGATATCTTATTTATGTAGCCCAGCGAGATCTCTCTGTTTGCCAGGACTAACATCTACATATTTGCCCTTTTGACTTAACGGCCAAGTGTAGCTGCATAAATTGCAGCGTTTGCTACTTGAAGACATAGTTATCTATTGGTATCTGCAACTATGTTCATGTTGCAACAGTCACAACAAGAACAGCAACAACTACAACAACAACTCACTTGCAAGAGCGCTATCACCAGCTGTATGGGTCCACAGCGTACGACAACGGTGCCAATTGTGGTGGCACGCAGAGAGGAGGACGTCGTTGCCTGGCTTGGCGTTGGCGACGATGATGACATTGTTGCTGAATAATTGAAGGCGTCTAGCTGCGTCTGTGACTGAGAGTGCGACTGTGGCTGTAGCTGGAGCTGGCGATTCGAGGAGCTGGCCGAGTACAGTGAAGACATCGATGAGTCTAACGTTTGACGACGTTCCATGTTGTGGCTGTTGCGCTGTCTGTCTTTGTCTTTGTGGCTGCTGAACTGTGTCTCTGTCTCTATGTGTGTGTGTGTTGAGTGTTGTTCTCGGCTTAGTGGCTACGTGTTGTTTTGTGTGTAGGCGTGGGCGTCGTTTAATCTTTCCCGTTTAGTTTTCTTTTGTTTTCTATTTTATATATATTTATTATTGCGCGCGTCTTTCGCTTAGTTGTTGTGCATTTTGTATTTGTTTTTTATTTTTCTCTAAAAGAAATGTGTTTAGCTTAAGTTAGTTGAGTTTTGTTTGTTGTTTCGTTGTTCGTTTTCGCGAATTTGCTCGAGTTATTCGTTTGTCGCGCTCACTATCAATGCTGGCGATCGTCTGACGGCCCCCCAACACATAGAATACGCTCAGAGCGAAGAACTATGGCAAATAAATCGACTATGACTTCATGCCTCGCGCTGCCTGTTTATTATTGTGTGCTAAGCACAACAATGTCTATATATATATATATTCATATATATATATATGAGTATACCTATACTAATGTATTTTGCATATGCGCCTGAGCAAATTTTAGCACTGCCTTTGATGCGTGCGCCGCACCGATCTTTGCTCGGCCCGATGACAATGCTCAATTTGCGCTATTTTTGAAAATCAAACTAAAACGTAGAACTACGCGCATATTGAGTAATTCTCAGTTGCTGCTGGTGCTGCTGCTGCTGCCTTTGTTTGAATAGCCCACATTTGGCGGATGTGCGTCAGGCTAATCATTGTTGCTGTATCTTTGGGATACTCAGATACAATCGCACACATGTGCCAAAATTGTTGCAGTGTCTGAAAATGTTAACCTTTTGGCTGTTGTGCCTTTGCTCTGTTCGATGCTTGGCTGCTCAATCAATTGCAACTGTTTTGGGCTGGCAGAAATTATGGCAGCTTTCATTTATTTTTGAAATATTACGCATACGCAACGTGAGCTGCTGCTGCTGCTGCCTACTGCCCGCTGCCCTGTGTGTGCGCCCGGCTGTGGCATTAGGTAATTTCTTTTCTGTTTCTTGATTTTTATGGCCAAACCATTTGAAGCGATTTTCGTATGAGGCAATGTAAATGATTTTAATTGTACTTTTCTAAAAATAAACAGGCACTATAAAAATGTTGCACACACCGAACGAGAGCACATGCCTGGAAATGAGGCGTGGCTGCCACAATTTGGCTGCCTGCCTGCCTGCCTGCCTGCCTGCCTGTCGTTCGCGAACTCCTCGACAAATGTCAATTTTAACAGACAGCCCCAAAAACTCTAGCGAAATGATATTTATTTTTCGTGTCTTTTTCTTTTTGCGATTCTTCTTGCGTTCGACGACGGCCAACAACAATAACTAAATTAGAACACAATTTGTGCCGCCGCATCAAAATATATGTGTTTATAGATATATGTGTTTGAAGTGTGTTTGTTATTTCTCTTGTATTAAATATAATTTATATAGCATTCAATGTCATTAGTTGTTAATTTATTGCGAGCGTCAGAAATTCATTTACATTTCGATGCCAAATTTACATTATTCAAAAACTTTATTCGCACATTTTTTGTTGAGAAAAAATAGAGAAGCAACACGGATTGATGAGCAAATAAATTGAAAAGAAACGCGCGCGCCGCGTGCCCCACAACCGAACGACGCGAACTTCGAACAAGACTGAGCAGCTCAACCGGACGACGGCTGCCGCCAGATCGACGCGAGATCGGGTCGAGTGCGAGTGCCAAAACGGGGGAGCCCGGCACTTAACCGATTCGCTCAGCTTTTGCGCTCTCAAACGACGCGCGACTGAGCTGCAGCTTGGATGCCGGCTGAGCGGCGTTGAGCTGAGCTGGGCCGAGCGAGCGAGCGGGCGGTGGAAGAGTGGGAGGCGGTGACGACATAAATAAACAAGTGCTCTTGGCATTCGTTGCGTCGTTAATTCATGATTTCAATTTTTAATGCCCTGCGCCGGCAACAACAACTGCAACAATGTGCTCAAGCAAAGCTTGTACTTTAATAACAGACACAACCGAAGAGGCCACAACAACGACAACGACAACAACATCAACCTGACTGCATCGTGTCTTAATAGAATGCAACAGGCGGCCGCCCGCATTCACAGCTAACCCGCTCCCCCCTCAGCGCAGTTTTACGCTACTTGAGCGTTCGAAATGCGTGTGGCAGGCAATGCTTGAGAGCTGACCAAAGGCATGTAGAGGGTGCAGGGAGTGAGGGGTAGATTAGTTCGTGCCGTTCGTGTTGCTGCATCCAATCAACGTATTCTGTTATTATTTTGCAGCCTATCAACGGCACCAAAAATTTATTGAATTATATTTTCCGGCCAGCGTTTCGCAGCCGTCACGAGCAGCGGCCAATTTGATTTGATTGCTACATGGCGCTTGGCTGCAGCTGACCAACGGCGCACTACCCCTAGTTACAAGAACTTTGAGCTAGAACTCCCAAGCTGTGTCGCCTCTCGCACACATATTATTTATGATGTTTTTTTCATTGAGATTAATGAGACATTTGAGTAGCTGACTTGAATGTGTGAGTGCGTGTGTGCGACACCCTTATGACAGCTCTCACACATTAATTAAAATCACTTAAAAAGCATTTGATAAATATTTATGAACAGCCCAGGTCGAGGCAATTAAAATTGGGCAAGTGTTGTGGGTTGCAATTGGACCACTCGGCTGCACAGGGGTTAAGCGTTGGCTTTTACAGCTGCAGCCAAAAGTTATGCAACAATAAATTACAGCCTAAACGCATTACATTTTATAGAAATATATTTGTTTCATTTATCAATTTAACTAGTTGTGTGACTTATTTGTGACTAAAAAGTGTTTAAAAATTTATATAAAAAATTAATTTATAGCTAAAAATTAAAGTTTTGTTTTTGTGCAATTAAATCTTTAGCAATAAAAAATAAATTAAAAATAAATGCCAAGCGTTGGAAATGTTTTGGAATTCTCTAATTGTCGCAGGCAAAACAAACTAATTAATTAAGCTAGTTTCATAATTTAAATAAATACAATAAAAACATGCGTTTCGCTTAAAAAGTAATAAATACGAAAGCATTCGTTTTGCTCATGGGCTAAAATAGCTAAAATAGAAGCGAACTTAAAATAAAATTAGACATCAAATAAAATAAGATAAAATGCCAGCAAATTCGTTTTTGGCAAGAGCAAAAAATAAAACCAACAAACAACAAAGAACAAAGCGGAGCGAAGGCAAATGGCGCGTCTTAATTAGGCGGGTTCTAGTGGGGCGGGGTCTCGAGGGGCGGACGGCGGGTCGAGGGCGAATCTCTCAGAGAAATCCCTTGATCGTTTGCTTCGTTATATTCTCGTAGTATTTGCTGCGGCGCCACGATGCTGGCGGCGTCTGCTGCGCATTGTCAGCCGTGGCAGCGCACTGGGCACTCACCTCCGGCGTGACGGCCGTGGAGACGCTGGGCAGCAGCTCGGTGCTGATGTGGGCGGCGTCCAGGCCGTAGGCCTCTAATTCGCTGTCCGATTCGATGGGCTGGGCCAGCAGCTGCAGCTGCTGCTGCTGATGCTGCTGCTCTTCTGGTGTTGGCGTTACGCTTTGGCTGTGCAGCTCGGCCACGCCCACCACACTATCCTGATCGTCGGCTTTGAGGGGCTGCTGCGCGGAGAAGTAGCTCAGCTCGGAGCTCTCAAAGGACATGTTGACTGGCGATTGCGGCAGCTCGGGTATTTCAAAGTTGCTCAGCGTCGAGTCGTCTGCCTCGTCAAAGGAGTTCTTGGCGGAGCCAATGTAGGAGCTGGTGCGACCCGAGGCCGTTTGAAAGGATGACGAATGCGAATTGGGCGTAAAATTGCCCTCGGAGGCCGTGGCAAAGGATTCATCTTCCGTTGAACGCGATTGCCAGTCCTGCATGCATCAAATGAAAACCAAGTGAAGAAGGAATCTGGAGAAACATAAGCGAAAGCAACTGCCTGCCGCACTTACCTCGTTGCCCATGCCCAGCTTTTTGTGCGTGGCATTCGACAAATCCAGCTCAGCGCCGCTACAGTCTCGTATGACCGCATCCAAGGACTCGGCCACCTCGGCAATTGCGCTCAACTTGTGCGAGATGGCAGCACAGGCCAGGTCATTGCTGCCCGTCGGCGTCACAGTCAACGTGGCTGGTGTTTCCACATGAATGGGCTCGCTGCCTGCGCTGCTGTTGCGGCCGCTGTCGTGCATCGGACTCGGACTGCTGTCCAGCGGCAGCTCATCCGGCACAACGCTGTAATCACATGAAAACAAATTGGGTTTACTCAGCTGCTGCTGCTGCTGTTGTTGCACTGCCTCTGCAGTCGAATCCACTGAGGCGGTGCGTGAGTGCAAGGGCGAGGGCTCATCGGTGTCCGTGTAGTCGCTCTGCGGATATGTTTCGCTGTCATTGCGTATGAGGGCCTTAATCTTGTCAAGACTGTTTTGGCCAGGCTGCTCTGGCGAGCCATCTTCTTCCTCTTCCTCTTCTTCTAAGGCATCCTCCAAGATGATATCACGCTCGATAGAAGCTTTGGCTATTTTGGTTTTCACACTGGAAGTGCTCGCCGTCTCATCGTCATCTTCATCGTCTTCGTCCTTTGGCTCATCCTGTTCCGTATCGTCGCTGCTGAAGTCTGGCAATTGGCTGCTTAGATTAATGGCGTCCAGCTGCTGGGATAGCTCCTGTGTGGAGGCGCTCAGCGGCTGCTCGTGGCCATTGCTCAAATCTTCCTCCTCAGAGGCCAAGGGCGCATTAGTGTGTTGATTCGCATCCAGCGATTCCTCAGCCGGTGCTTCGTCTACAACTATTGTGGGCACTTCATCGGCTTTGGACTTGCCAAAGATATTCCGAAATCTGGCAAACATTTCTGCTTCCGTTTCTTGGCGCCTCCCACAATTGAGTAGTTTGACGCAATAGCTAAACACGCGTTTGGCTCCGAGCCAGGCGGGCAAATGTCAATTGCGCTAAGTACTCAACTCTTCAGGATCACCCACAAGACACGGATCGATCAGGAGCGAGGGGCGCACTAATTATGCAGACACTTCTATTTTAAGCACAAGAAAAATGTAAAGTTCCACTTTGACCTACTTGTTGGCTGGCACACACGTTTTCTTTTTCCAGTCGGGTTGAAGCTAAAGATATACACAGTCTATATATACTATCTGTATACCGATTGCCGGCTGTTTCATTCACTTGACAGTTTGACAAGTTGCCACGCTATATGTATTTATGAATATTCCCGACGACAAAGACGCCTCCCGTCGAGCATCAGACGCTCTGCGCTGGATCACGCACCGAAATAGACTGTTGTGGCCCACCAAGAGCCAAATTCTGTGTAGTTGGCGGCACTTTTCGCTTTAGTTTTGTCAGCTTTTATTTTGGTTTTATCTGAAGAAATTATTAGTCAGATATCTGAGTGGTTTTCGCTTTTGAGTGGTTTTCCTTTGTTCTCTCTCTGTGAGCACTCACGCAGCCGCCTCAGCTGGAAAATGATTAGAAATCTGCATCTCACTCACCTTTTGCCTGTGAGAGCATCCAGCACAAAGGGCTCCTTAAGGCGCTTCTTGAGCAGCCGACCCAGCCGCACCATGCGACCCACCTCAACCAGGAGCTGCTCTCTCGCCAGCAGGTGGTGCTGCAAGCGTGCGCCAAGACCGTCAGCTGGCGAGAGCTCCGGCGAGGCTTCTGCATCGCTGCTAATGCCGCTACTGCTGCGGTTGTGCTGCTGCCGCTGCTGCTGCAGCTGCGTGGCAAGTTCATGGGTCAGCAAAGGGCGCAAGTCGCGCAGCTGCCTGTAGTAAGCCTCCACGCTGCGGTGAAAGACAGCGGAGACGCGTAGCCGGGTCATCTGCTCCTGGGCAATGGACTGCAGACTGTGCCAGGTGCGCTGCAGCTGCAGCTGAAACTGCTCAGGCTCCGACTGCTCCAGCTTGCAGCAGAGGCGCAGTGTTTGCGAGGCCTCTAGCAGCTGACAGCCATAGTTGAAAATGCTCTGCAAGGGGAATGGAAAAGTGGAAGAGTCGATGAAGGCGTCAAAAATTGCACGCAAACTGGCCGGCCAAAAAATGCAGATCTCTCTCACTCGCTCTCTGCCTCTCGATCTGTTGTTGTGCTAGCTGAAAACTCACCCGGCCGGTTTCTTCGAACCCCTGCAGCTCGTCCTTCTGCAGCTGAATCTCGTGTATGTTGCAGCCAACATGGGAGTGACAGCGCAACAGCACCGCGTACAGCTCGTTTAGCCACTGGAGCGCGCAGCGCACCTCCTGCTCGTAGCCATGAATGTGGGTCACCTGCTCCAAGGTGAGCCGCTGCAGCGCCAGCCTCTGTCCGCACAGCTGCCGGCGCTCGCGGCTCGCATCGATCTGCCGCCGCAGCTGGGCAATGTCGTTGCTATAGTCCAGCTGGAGGTCACGGCCCAAGGCATCTTTCACTGGCATTGCCAACATGTCGCTCAGCTTTTCGCCCTCGCGCACAAGTTCGTGTTCGATGTTGCCTGCGTGTGTGGAAATTGTGATCAAGGTTCGAGTCAAACAGCTGCAACCGATTGTTGTAAGCGCAACCAAAACTATGAAACTTATTTGGCTGTGCATAGGGCTTGCTCTATTGGTGGAGTTGAAGGTATAAGAGAAGAGACTCTGATAAGGAGAGCATTGCATGTTGCAACTGAACAATTTGTATAGATAAACATTCATATAGAGGCAAGCCTTGGCTGTTTCACAGAGTCTATATAAGATCTTGTAATGCTAATTTGCTGTATGCTACCTTATCTATATAGGTGAGTGACATAGCTGATATTTATGTCGAAACTCTTATCAAGTATTATCAAGGTAACGAGAATTTCTTGATAGTTGTGCTTGGAATATTCAAGAAAAGTTTGGGCAACGTCAACTATTTCTACTTGAGATTGTAAGCTATAGCTGCATAGCTATATATACTTAGACAGTCTGTTGAAATATCTGCAACAGCTACTCATTTACATCAAGCGAGCCAATTTACAGACTTTCACTTGGTATCTGTGGCCATTAAATAGTTACGATTGCACATAAAACTGGCATGGAGGTCAGGTCTGCATCTAGACTTACCCAAGAGCTGTTGACTGGTCTTTAGCTGCATGAGCATGTCTTCGGCTTGTTGGGCAGTCAACTCGCTGGGCTCCGCATTGGCTGCTTGGTTGGCTATGAGCAGCTGCTCCTCGAAGTGATCCAGCAGGCGATGGAAGCGCAGCGCCGTCATCAACACCTTGCGGCGTCGCTCCAGGCGCTCGGCAAAGGAACGACACACAAACTGCATAAAGTCGCGCTGCGAAAGCAGATCCTGGCATGTGGCTGTGGCGCGCTCCTTGGCAAACTGCTCGACTTTGTAGAGCAGCTCTGCATAGCAGCCGTAGGTGTCGCGGCATTCCAGCTCCAGTTGATCGTGTGCCGCACGCAGCGTCTCGGAGCCGCGCACGTCGCTGCCGACGCTGCGCTGGCGGCTGAGCAGCTGCTCGGCCTGGTTCAGAATCCAGTTGGTGACAAAGGCCACGCCCTCGGCCAAAGTGCACAGCTCGCGTGCCTCACGCAGCGCACGCAACAGCTCCAGCCAAGCGGTGCGTATTGCCGTCTGCTTCTTCTCTATTTCATTCAGGCGCAGCTCGATGCGGGCTCGCTCGCAGTTCAGATCGGGCGGTAGCAGCGGCTTAGCAGGGCTCTGGGCGTGGCCACTTGTTGTTGTTGGCGATGCTGTTGTTGTGTTCGAGCTGGCAGCAGGTGCGGCATGTGGCGTTGTCGTTTGCGTCTCGTAAACTTCGTTAAAGCGCGCCAAGATCGCATTACCTGCAGCAAAAGAGAAATGGGGAAAAGGGTTTAAGTTTCAATGAAAATCTGTTTATTAGCCGTGCGTTTGCTTAGTTAACACAACGTTTCTATTTGCTTATGCCCTATGTAAAAAGTGAAAAGCTGCGCTCAAATTGTGTGCCAGTTTCGTTGCGCATCAACGCAGATATAACGAAAACAAAGCAAAACAAAAAAGCTGCCTAAGTGAAGGGTCACGATACATACAAATAGCAGTCACCCAGACACCCACACACGCGCCACACGCTAACAACAACAACAAAAATGACATGAGCATCAAGTTGTGCGGTTTCTGCGGTATTCTCCATTTGTTCAACACTCGTCAAAGACACAGCACAACACAGCTCAATTCTGGGTTCAGCTGTGTGTGAAATGGTTGCATCGGAAGTGTTTGAAGTTTAGCTCTGTGAACTAAGCTGGGCTTGAAATTAAGAGATTTATTTTAATATAGATAGTTACATTTAGAATATAATGGTTATTACAGGTGACTAATTGGGTCAAACTAGTTTTATGTAAATAACAGAATAGATTAGAGTGTGAAACAATATATAAATTCACTGAATTTCTGCTCTATAAAGTTTAATTGTAAAATGCGTCTGTGTGCATTGGCACTCAACAAAAATTGATCACAAAAATCAACTTAATTTTAGCGAGCCCCAAAATCTGAAACTTTTGAAACTTCAAGCGATGTTATTCAATCATATTGTTAACTTTATATATTAAACATTTTCTGACGCATAAAGATTGAGGCTGGCTATGCGAAACTCAGAAAGAGTAAGAGGCTTGCCTAAACAGAGTGTTAAGTGGAGGAGTGAGAGATTGGGTGTAGAAGTGTAAGTCATGTGTATCGAAGACAAATAAAGATTTTGCTACGCATGTGACTTTATAAGAAATAAGAATATTTTAGTTTGAAGTTCGAATTCAGCAAGTCAAGCATATTCATATTCCAAATATTCTAATAGCTTAGCTTGGTTGGTGATATTCAACGCCAATTTCAAGCTAATTTCTATACAAAATAAAAGCTATCAAATCTACCACGCATGAGTTATCCCGCATGTTTCAGTCCTACGAGCTGCTGGAATTAATTACTATCCAAAAGAGCTGTGTTTAGTTATTCTATTTTCGTTTATAGTTCCATTCTCCCATACTCCTACTCTTACTTAACATATTTATGATAATTTTTGGGATTATTTTTCTAATTTCTAACACTTACAATGGCTTGAAGAAACTTCTGCTCCCGCCATGTGAAAAAGTAAAATGGGCTTACAACATGAAAATGAAACAATAGAAAACTATTCAATGCAATTTATCTGGATTTTCTGTGTTTTCACCTATATCTTTATCAGATTTTTAAGAAGCTTTTCACATTTAAGCAGTGGGAGCTGGGAAAAGGTACAAAAGGCGCATTTAAAATGAATAAATTTATAATTATGCCTTGGCTGAAGTTTCAATTCAAACAAAACACTTTCTAGATCACGCACGTTTTCAAGAACGCAAAATCAATTTCAATGTTAATTAGTGTAATAAAAACTCTACCCACAAAGCCAAAAAACAAGTTTGCCAAACATTTTCATTTCTAATTGAAACACGCACACGACTTATGCTCGTAGTTGTCGTTGTTATTGTGGATTACTTGTCACATTTGCTGTCTGTTAACTCGTTTCGTTTGTCGTTGTCATCGGCGGCGACGGTGATCATTGAAATTATGTAAATTGTTTCGCTCACCACGCAAAACGAAAGACTCAGGCAACGAATTTGCCGTCGCTGCTGCTGCTGTTGTTTCGCTTACCCATCTCAATGGCCGACTCAATGCTGCGCTGCACGTGCGTATGCAGCTGAGCGCACTTCTTAAGCTCGACATCCGCTTCCGCTGGCCGCAGCGACTTAAGCAGCGTCAACAGCTGCTCCATGCCGGCCAAAGTTTGCGCGTGGGTCTTGCTAAACTCGTCTATGGACTGCGAGTGGGAAAGAGCATTGCTTAGTTGGCATTCCATTGGTAATTACTGGCGCTTACCTTGCGCTGCTGCAGCCACAGATCATAATTGAATTGCAGCGTGCCGCCCAGTTCCTCGGGCAATTGGTGTAGATCTATGAACTTGGCCAGGCGCGCCTTCGACAGCACCAGGGGCTGTAGGACAGACACGGTTTATTGGCTGTGCGGCTCATTTGCATATGTGGCTTACCTCGCCTTTGGTCTGCGACTTGGCGCAAGGCTCCACGTGCTTCTCCCAGAAGCCCTCCGCTCTGACTAGATAAACATCGACGCTGATGTCGCCGCCAAAGAGCGCATAAATTTGCCGCACGTGCTGCCTGGATATGCGCGAGCTGATCTCCTGGGCGTTGACAACGACGCTCACCCCATTCTGCAATACGGACGCGCTACAAAGATAGAGCGAAAGAGAGAGAGAGAGAGAGAGGGAGGAGGACGTGGAGAAAAGTTAACAAAGTGTTCATTAGGCATAGAAATCTCGTTTAGCTGTTGATTAACTTAAGCTGGAGCTGGCTTTGGGCCTAATGCCAGTTGATTGATCACATAAATATCTTTGCTCATATTTTATTTGATTTCTTGTTTTTATTGTGGCTTGAAAAGTTGCGTGTTCAAAACTAGAGAAGAGTCCATCAGTTGAGATACAAATTTAGATATAGTTGGGTGATCTATCTTTGACATATCATACGAGTTGGCCTGCGGCAGGCTGTTCGCTTTGATCTAACTACGAAAAGCTAAGAAGTTCATAAAATGGTATTAGCATATCGGGGTGTGGAGAACTGCAGAGAACTAATGAAAAGAGTCTGATATAGAGCCTAAATCATCTGCGGGCTATTTGCATATTTGGTCTATGCTAATTAGTTCGATTAGCGGCCTGTTTCTTCTGCTATACACCTGGCGATTCAAAGACTCACCTGAGCGAACGCTTGAGATAGTCGAGCGTCAGTTGCAGACAGCGACGATTCCACAATTGTTGATCATTGAATGCATTCACAATGAATATGATTCGCCTGTTCCGATCGTAGCCGCCGCACAGATAAGCGCTGCGCATCTGCAGCGCATTCAAGACGTCCTCCTCCATGAGTTGGCCGTAAAGAACTCTTTAATTGTGAGGGCTTTCAGCTTTCAGCTTTCAGAAAACGTCATTTCTATTAACGGGCCGAGGGTTCAAATAAAAACACAAAGCAGCCAAGTTAAAACTGTGTAAAGGGGCAAAAACTTGTACATATGACTATTTGTTTTTTTTTTCATTGGGGCGGCCTTTTCAGCTTCTTATTGTTGCTGTTGTTGTTGAAAATTAATACGAGTCACAGTTAATGCTGTTGTTGTTGCAGCAACTGTTGCTGTTGCCGCCGCTGCTGCCACTGCTGCTGCACAATGCATTTCCAATGCCGTTGTGGAACACGTTTGACAAGTCGCAGACTGAAGACTGAACTGAAGACTGGAACTGCACACATGATTTTCACTATTTTCATGTTAGTTTAAGAGCTGCCTGTGCTGCTTGGGCTGCCAGAGCTGCCCGTTTTGCCTGCTAGCCAGTTGTTTTTGTCAGCGACTAATGGAAAATACCAATTTTCCATATACCCTGTACATTTTTCAAAGTCGTCTGAAGAGTTTAAGCGGAGTTGGGCTGGATGTTAACTTAAGAATTTATGAACTATAGACAAAAGCCGCTTCCACCTACTAGACTTCGCCTTGCGTTCAGCTCCAATGAAACCAAAGCTTCTTCACTTTTATCTGCCGCTTCTATCGCTGGCCTCACAGTTGCAGTTACAGGGTAGCTGTTCCTCGCGCACTCTCGTTTAGAGCATTGCCATTTGCGTTATTTTTTATTTTTGAAAATTACTTGACACAAATTGTAGTCAGCGGGTAGGCCGCTAAACTTTTTCTATGCCAGGCCAAACGGCAGCTGCAGTTTTGGCTTAATTTGTTGCTGACTGATAAGAGGCGTGGCACACACTCGCACAGACAGGCACGCACACACAGCCACTCTCATAATCTTTCACTTGTGCAGAAATCCTGTTTCTGTTCGGCCAGCTCGTTGTCTATCTTACAGTTATGCGTTAAGTGAGTCTAAAACTTGCTCCGTTTTATGGCCAAGAATTTTCAATGCGGCCCGTGGGCAATTTGCACCACTTGCCAACCTGTTGCCAGCAATATAATTGTCAAGACTTTTGAGCCAGCTAGCGGTTATGGCCCGCTGCCTCTTCCGCATCGAATTACAATTAACAACAACAACGAAAATTGCAGCAGCAGCAGCAGCAACAACTTCGACATAAACTTCCAGCAGCAACATGAATTTCAAGTTTCAAATGTCAGATTCAAATTGAATAATTTGCAGGGGCAAAAAGTGGCAACGCGGCAAAAATTCATAAAAATAAAACCAAAAAAAATAAAGAAGTAATTTAGAAAGAGCTAGACAGAGAGTGGGAGAGAGGGAGGAAGAGGTAGTTAGGTAGGCCTGCTGGGCATTAAATGCCCCGCTTTTGTTTGGGGCACACCTTGGCAGGCGGTTTTTAGGCCTTGCGGCAAGTTAAATCTGCTACTAAAATAGACACAAAAAACAAACAAAAAAACAATAACAAATGAGAAACCGTTTTGTGGCGTTTTCTTAAACTTTCCTAAGAACTCTTTTACTTTGCTTTTATGATATGGCGATAAGATCTATGCGGGCCAAGCGAAAATGAGCGACGTCTCTGTTCGAGCTGTTAAATTAATTGAAAAGTTCAACTGGCCGCAGCAGCAACACGAAACCCATCAGCATTTCGACCAAAAAATTTGTTTTAACAGCTGACAAATGTTTTTTTGTGTGTTGTTTTTTGTTCTTATTTGGCTTTTGGCTTCATTACAATTTTGCTGTAATTAATTATTTCGCTTTTGGACTTTTTTATGTGGCACTCAAATTGTAATTTGACATTAAATTCCATTTAAGCGCTTTTTGCGGCACAGTTCGAGTTATTGACTTTCAAAATTGCACTTGCTCCGTTGTTTGGGCTGTAAACCCGTAATAATGCCCGTACCCCCACCCGCAGCCGCAGCCGCCGCCGTACCCGTAGCTAATCTCTCCCGTCCGTGCCGTCTGTGTGCGTCGGCCAACAGCTTGCGCGCTCAACTGAAAGTTCGTTTTGTAGCTTTGTCGGTTGTTTGGCGCCTGCGTCGCGCGCTTTGCAACCCGGTGCGAGTTCGAGTTTGAGTTTGAGTTGCAAGCGACTGTTGTGACTGTTGGCCCCCGGGCGTTGCGTGTCAGCTCAGCTGTTTTTCACTCTTGCCTCTTGCTTGCATATCAATTGGCTAGTCGCTGCTGCCGATCGCCCTTTTTCTTTTTTATGGTTTGCCTGCACATAAAAACCTGTTCACAGGTGAGCCGAAGCTGTGGTTTCTTCGCTGTCTGCTAAATTAAAAGCAAAACATGCGTTTTGTCTGTTGCAGTTGATATCGAAGTGTGTGCAGTTGTTGAAGTTTACTTCAAGCGGATACATTAGCTATGAAGTTGATTTGGCGAAGGCAACGAGAAGGAGACTTCTAAAATACAAATACAAATACAATATGGATACCTTCTTTAGTTTAGTCCTTAGTTTTAATAGAATCATATGAATATGAATGTATGAACATACTTTCACTCTAAAGCTTATCGTCTAGTAAAAGCCTCCACAATTGAATCTAGTCGAATCTTAGTCTTCCATCTCTCGTCTTATGCATGGTTAGAGTATGCAATCGCCTCTATGTAGCTGCTCATCTGGTGTTTCTCTCGTTGTTTTATTCATGCTGCCGCAAACGTGGGAACTTTTAATTGTGTGTGCGTATGGGATTCGTGGAATTTGAAGTCTGGGCCGCTGTCTCTATAAAGCACTTGCAAATGCAAAAGGATATTTAGTATGCTCTGGACAGTGCAAATATCAAAGATTTATGGGACTGGCATCGAAGACCAGTTTTTAGGCTTCACTTGCTATGGCAACAGCATCTAGCGGCAATCCCCTAAGAAAAGGGACGCGATGCCAGCGCCGCAAAGGTCCTGCTGTGCGACCCTTATAAACATGTCAATCACAAGTAAATTGTAGCAGGACTTAATGGCCAGCCCGGAATGTGGGTCGATGGATGGCGAGAAAATGCAAATGGCCAATGGCTGCTGACGCAGCAAGCAAATGGCAAGGACGAGACCATGACGCAGCCAAAGCTGTTGCCTAAGCCCATGGTCACGAGTGCTGCCGCTGCTTAGCAACAATTTATTGGCAATCTTCTAGCATAGGCGCGTTATTTTGCAATTTTTTTGCCCTTTTTGTATTTTTTTGGTTTCGGCTGGAGATGGATGTTAAAGCGCGTGATGGGTTAAATGGGCACGTAGCTGATAAGGGGCATTCAAGGAGCTCGGCGTATAGTTTGTAGCTGGCATTGCACTCGCAATTGCACTGCATAGTGGCCATAAAAGCTGGCCGCAAAATGGCGTCGAAAGCGCTTCCGGCCAAGTTGCTAAACAAAAACCCGTTATATGCAGCTCTGCAAACGTACGTGAAATGTTTTTCGGCTTGTTTTTTCTTTCCCATTCCCAGTCCCTTTCCCTCTCCCTCTCACTTTCGCTTCCCCTTTCCATTTTCTGTTTCTTTTTAATAATCAACCCTAGTGAATATCGTAGCGCTGCACGCCCAACTGTTTCCGACTCTGGCTCAATGCGTTAGCGGCTATTAGAAAATTGCGAAAATTGCGCGCACGTTTTAAACAAGCGTCTGCGTCAACGTCGACGTCGACGTCGACTGCGTTGCATGCGCTGCAGCAATTGAGTGCAATTTCAGATTTATTGCTGCGTCGAGAGCTGCACAACTAGAATTTTAAGCAGCAACGGCTTTAGCTGCAGTTTATTAAGCGGCCAGCTATAGCTGTTGCTGCTCAATGTGATGGCCTTAACATGCATAATTCATTTGGCTTAAGGGTTTTTTTTCATTTCAGTGCAAGGCATCGATGCGTGTGTGCGAGCAAGCGAGTGAGTGTGTGTGCGTGTGAGCCAAAAATCTAATGCTATTGCTAAGATTAAATTAAATTTCTTTAGAGAGCAAATTATAGATAGTGTTTTGCTGCTTTATATAGACAGAGACTTCCCTCCTAACAGATCCTCCCTTCAGTCCATAAATTTCCAAAAGTAAACAGTAGACTACAGTAGACTACAGTAGACTACAGTAGACTACAGTAGACTACAGTAGACTACAGTAGACTACAGTAGACTACAGTAGACTACAGTAGACTACAGTAGACTACAGTAGACTACAGTAGACTACAGTAGACTACAGTAGACTACAGTAGACTACAGTAGACTACAGTAGACTACAGTAGACTACAGTAGACTACAGTAGACTACAGTAGACTACAGTAGACTACAGTAGAGTAGACTACAGTAGACTACAGTAGACTACAGTAGACTACAGTAGACTACAGTAGACTACAGTAGACTACAGTAGACTACAGTAGACTACAGTAGACTACAGTAGACTACAGTAGACTACAGTAGACTACAGTAGACTACAGTAGACTACAGTAGACTACAGTAGACTACAGTAGACTACAGTAGACTACAGTAGACTACAGTAGACTACAGTAGACTACAGTAGACTACAGTAGACTACAGTAGACTACAGTAGACTACAGTAGACTACAGTAGACTACAGTAGACTACAGTAGACTACAGTAGACTACAGTAGACTACAGTAGACTACAGTAGACTACAGTAGACTACAGTAGACTACAGTAGACTACAGTAGACTACAGTAGACTACAGTAGACTACAGTAGACTACAGTAGACTACAGTAGACTACAGTAGACTACAGTAGACTACAGTAGACTACAGTAGACTCTCTCTCTCTCTCTCTCTCTCACTCACTCTCTCTCTCTCTCTCTCCCTCATGAAGATATCTTTTGCTGCATTGAAGTAATAATCCACCCAAATCGCTATCGTTCTATTGAACTTCCGATTTAAGCCTGATTGGCTGTCGTTTAGTCGCTTAGCAAATTTAGGCTCAAATTTTCATTTTTCCTTTGGCTAACTTAATTTAGTACACGCGCGTCTGAAAGAATGCTGCGTGAATTTCGGCGAAACGTGAACTAAGGCGAATTTCGTCATAAAATGCTGTCAGCTTTACTTGCTGCGGTCTTGCTCCTTAAATTAAAAATCTGGGCATATGCCATACCTGAGAGTTTATGGCTTTAGCTATACACACACACGCAGACGTCCTGCGGCGAAGCTTGCGTGGGCAAAGGAGAGGAAAAGGCGCAGAGTCTGGCGAATTGCAAAATCGATAGTGTTTTAATTTTGTTGTTGTTTAATCAACGTACGAAAATATGTGAGAAATTTGACTCTTAATTGATTGAATTTTCCGTGCAATTACGGCGGAACTTTAAGCATAAATATTAATATCAGCAATCAAAATGTATGACAAGAAAATTATGCGCTGGGAAAGCAAATACCTATTTGAAATTCAGCAATTGAGGCAGCTGTTGCCGCGTCAGACGTTGCCACACAAGCACATCAGATGTTCCAAGGACACACGAAAGGAAGCGCCTTGCTGGTGCGACTGTCAGATACCCTGCTTTGTTGAGTCAATGTTTGAAATTTACCAAAAGTATATTCGATAAAGTTTGTTAAAATAAAATGAAACGAGAGCTGAATACTCCCGCCTTTGACTCGTAACTTCTATCAAAGAGATAGTTCCATACATAACAATTTTGTCTATTTTGCATACAGAATATGCCCCCACTTAAACACATTTTACAGTGTATTACAGCAGCTGGCAAACTGCTTAAATTAAATAAAATCGACGCTCGTCTTTCTCCGTACGTTACTATGCGCCACCTAAGAGTAGGCAACGAAAATGTTGTGCGGCTGCGAGAAATTAAATTTGTCGGCGCCGCCTAAAAGTAGGCAACGCTTTTGTCGTCACGCCAACAGTGAAATTATTCTCAAATACTCTTCGGCAAGCAATTGATTACATTTCTTGTCATTTAAGTGCCCATCTCTGTCCCCCAGTACATGTGGTTAATTGTTCAGCGCATATCCAATGAACATGCGCAAATTTCAGAATTTCATATCTGCAGCTTATGCTCTAAGCCAGTTGGCAGTCATTGCGCGCTGCTTGTTTAACTTTGGCAAGTCAACGCGTCGTGCCATTAAATCTGACTTGGCTAATTGTTCTAAGGAGCTCAAGTGTCTCTAAAGCAGCTTAAACCTGCTTCCACACACACATGCTGGAACACATTGAAAAGCTAACAAATTATAGAGTTCCTTTGTACTCAGGAACTAAATTAAAAGCTTGGCATTTTAATCAGGTATTGTATATATTTAAGTACATGTTTCTTTGTTCCCCATTGCTCCTTCAACATCATCCATATTATCGTCACTTTTCGCAGTTACCGATTGAACTTTTCCCTGCGACCTCTTACAGCTTGTGTTGTTGTCGCTTCTGTGCACCGCGGTGCTCCCGTGTGCTGAGGGCAGCATCTTCATCAGCCAACGACCAGCTTGATACTTTGGGCGGGCGATGGCGTCTCAGAAAGCGCACAATGTGCTTGGCACACTGCTCGGCATTGGTGAGATGTACATGGTGCGCACCTGGTAATTCGTAGATCTCAAAGTTCGGATTCTGGCTCTTCAAAATGGCAATTGCCTCGTCGCTGTCTGGTCCAATAAAGGAGGAATCGGAACCCTTAATGACGAGGTAGGGTGTGTCCTTGAGGCAACGCGTCAATTCGGCTCCCAGGCCACGATTCATCGGAAAGAGCGTATAAAACTTAATTCGCCCATCCCTCGCGAAGTAGAACTTATCCGGATACAGCTTCGACTTGGCCACAGTGCGGTACATCAAATGATGAGTGAGCTCCGGTGGCACCGAATTGTTGCTCCCCTTACTAAGATATTTGCGTAGCTGAGTCAGTGAGAAGCTGGGCGGTTCACTCATTGCAGGCCGGGCAGCACGCTCTTCCTCCACGAGATGCTTCTCCATGAAGTTGGCCATAATTTTGATACTCGCAGGAGAGTCCACTGGTGATATAACTACGTCCAATGTGATCAGCAGATCCACCCTGTGTGGCCCAAGAGCTGTGAAAACAAAGCTTAGTATGCCGCCAAGCGAGTGGCCCATCAGCGAAACTTTTTGCCAGTTATAGGCTTTCATGACCCGTCCAATGGCAAGCAGCCAATCGTCCGCGCTGTAGTGCATGCCAGGTGGCAGTGGAGAGGAGCACCCATGCCCGGCCAGATCGATGCAGAGCACGCCCAAGTAGTCAGGTAGATAGGGTATCAGCGTATCGTAGCTGCCCAGGTTGTCCATCCAGCCGTGTATAGCCAGGATGGGACGTTCCGAGCGATTGCCGTACCAGCGACCCGCAATGTGACCCCAAGGAGCCCAGATACTCACATCCTCGTACTATTGAAGACCAAAACGCACATATATAGGCTGCCTGTGTTCATTTAGTCTTACTCACATTGCTCAGCGATAAAGTCCCCATGGTAGCTATGGCAGCGATGGCCTTTGGTAACTGTTTGATACTAGCTGCTTATATGCAAACTGTCCGATGTTCTATTCTATTATCTGTAGTAAGCTAACGAACAATGGATTTGATAAGCATTGGATTTTAATTAGTTAATATCTTCTGGCTATTTGAATCAATGAAACTATCTATTCTTAGGCCAAAGTGCTGAGTAATCAAGCTTTTACAACGGCCCAAGCAAACGAATTCAAAAAGCTGCCCGCCTCACAATGAGAGTTCATTTTCATAGTTCGCTGCTTTTTTTACAGTCTTATTCTTTGCGTACCTTAATCGAATAATGCCTCCTAATCTGACTGCGTCGCTGCAGCCCTAGCTTCCGGTGCGAGCATACACTCAAAAAAAACCCTTCCGAAAATTATCGTTGAGCATTCGTTTACTCAATATATACTGTACAGGATTATTATAAATTGTTTACAATACTTAAAGCTTGCTAAGACGCTTCAACTGTCGCGCAAGGAAGTTCTTCTGCGACCTGCGTTGCTCTTTCATGCTCAACTTCTTCTCCTCGCCATTCAGTGACCAGCTTGACACTGCGGGCGGGCGATGGTGTCTCAAGAAGGGAACTATGTACTCAGCACACAGGTCGGGACTAACCAGATGCACATGATGAGTGCCTGGCACCTCGTGGTACTCGAAGTGCGGGTTCTGTTTCCTTAAAATGGAAATAGCCTCGTTTGCCTTCGAGTTTATATAATTGGATTTTGATCCTTTTATGATCAGATAGGGTTTATTTTTGATGCGCTTAGCCATTTCGGCGGCTAGGGGCGCATTGACCGGTAAAATACTATAGAATTTGGTGCGGCCATCTCTTGAAAAGTAGAATCTCTCTGGATATAGCTGCGACTTGGCCACGCTGCGATAGAGCAAGTGCTGAGCTAACTCTGGCGCAACCGAATTTTTGCTGCCCTTGCTGAGGACAGTACGCAGCTGGGCCAGCGTGTAGGAAGGTGGCTCATGTATAGAGTCCTCTTCTGCACGCTCATCCTCCACAAGATGCTTATCCAACGAATAACCAATATACGATAATGCGTAAGGCGTCTCGAAGGGCGGCACAAGAATGTCCAATGCGATAACCAGATCCACTCTGTGTGGTGCGAGTGCGGTGTAAATGTAGCTTAAGACACCGCCAAGGGAGTGACCCATCAACGAAACCTTTGGCCACTTGTACTCTTTCATGACTCGAGCTATGATAAGGACATACTCCATTGTGCTGTAGTGCATGCCCGGTGGCAGCCGCGAGGAGCATCCATGGCCAGGCAGATCGATGCAGAGCACGCCTAGGTAGTCGGGCAGCAAAGGTATCAGTGTATCAAAGGTGCCCAGGTTGTCCAGCCAGCCGTGAATGGCCAGAATTGGACGCTCCGATCGATTGCCGTACCAGCGACCCGCAATGTGACCCCAAGGAGCCCAGATGCGCACATCCTCGTACTATCGAATATCACAGAGGAAATAATTTAATGTTGAGCAGTGTATAAACAAAGCAAATACCATGGCCAGCCGGCTGAAGCTTTTCAATGTTTATACTCACGTCGTTCAGTGACAAAGTTCCCATGTGGCTCTCTGAACTTTGCCCGTCTGTTTATAATTGTCTCGGCTGCTTATTTCGGAACTTCCAAAGGTTTTTCCTAATTATCTTGTTCTAGATTATGTTATCATCGAACCATTAGTATTCTCTAATGAATATGGTTCTGTTCAGAGTTAATGAATAGTGAAAAACAAACAAATTTCGACTAACCCGCTTTGCTTTCTAGCTACAACAACTCACCGCAAACTGAAGAGAAGAAGCTTGTTGTGTTTTGAGTAGCGTGCAAAAGCTTCCAAAAGCTTCTTTTTGATCGCAATTATGGCACAAAGCTTTATGCTATAAACAAGCACAATCAGCTGTTCCGCATTATATTACAGCTCTATAGTATTAATTATTTGTAATTGAAAAGCTGTAACCCTTATCAGACCCTCCTTCTGGAAATGTAACGTATTTTGTATCTATACAATTTCAAAATTTGTATTTTAATGCAGTCAATATTGTCGAAGACCTAAGAGATGTTTAAGTTTGATAACGAAGCTTATAAAATTCAGTGCAATTAATACAAAGACAAAGATTAAATTTATAAAATTAACTGAATGTTTTGTAGTAAATCACGTTTCTTAAAAAATAATTTAAATTTACCTTATAGTTAATATACCGTACAGTATTCTTGAATGTTATTCAGTGTTATTTTCTTCTCCAATTAAAGCTTGCTAAGAAGATTCAAATGGCCTGCAAACGAATTTTCCTGCGACCTGCAATGCTCTTTCATGCTCAACTTCTTCTCCTCGCCATTCAGTGACCAGCTTGACACTGCGGGCGGGCGATGGTGTCTCAAGAAGGGAACGATGTACTGAGCACACAGGTCGGGGCTAACCAGATGCACATGATGAGTGCCTGGCACCTCGTGGTACTCGAAGTGCGGGTTCTGTTTCCTTAAAATGGAAATAGCCTCGTTTGCCTTCGAGTTTATATAATTGGATTTTGATGCTTTTATGATCAGATACGGCTTCTTTTTGATGCGGCTAGACATTTCAGCGATTAATGGAGCGTTGGCCGATAAATAATTGTAAAACTTAGTACGAGCATCCTTTGTAAAGTAGAATTTATCCGGATGAAACTGCGACTTGGCCACGCTGCGATAGAGCAAATGATGAGCCAACTCTGGCGGAACGGAGTCGTTGCTGCCTTGGCTGAGAACTTTGCGCAGGTGGGAGAACGTGTAGCAAGGTGGCTCCTTTTCTCCATGCTCACTCACCACTAAATACCTGTCCACGCAATTAGCTAATCTCTTTATCCATTCAGAGGATTCGATGGATGGTAAAATATTGTCCAATGCGATAACCAGATCGACGGTGTGTGGTGCGAGTGCGGCATAAATGAAGCAAAGAGCACCGCCAAGGGAGTGACCCATCAGCGAAACCTTTGGCCACTTGTACTCTTTCATGACTCGAGCGATGATGAGGGCATACTCAGCTGTGTTGTACTGCATGCCCGGTGGCAGCCGCGAGGAGCATCCATGGCCAGGCAGGTCGATGCATAGCACGCCTAGGTAGTCGGGCAGCAAAGGTATCAGTGTATCAAAAGTGCCCAGGTTGTCCAGCCAGCCGTGTATGGCCAGGATGGGACGCTCCGATCGATTGCCGTACCAGCGACCCGCAATGTGGCCCCAAGGAGCCCAGATGCGCACATCCTCGTACTATCAAATGTCACACAAGAAATAATTTCATGCTGAACAGTGTATAAACATATGAAAGTGGCTTGCCACGAGACCAAAAATCTTTGAATTTCCTTACTCACGTCGTTCAGTGACAAAGTTCCCATTGGTTTTTTTTAATTTTGTGGAACTTTCGGCGGTTTGCTTAGGTATTATCCAAAGTTTGTCCGACTTATCTTATACATATGTATTTTGCAAATTTGTTTCCAAAAATATTGCATAAATGAACTCAGCCAAACTAAATTTGACAACCGGTTGTGTCTTTTAGCAAGAGCAGCGTGCCAATTACTGAAGCCAAAGAGTCTCATGCAGCTTGGGCAGCCGGCGAAAGCTCTTAAAAGCTTCAATTCAAACACAACAAAATACAAAAAAATACAGAAATATATAAATATATATATATATACTGCAGCAAGCTCATATGAATAAAAAGTTGTATGCGTAATCTATAACACTTATGATTATTTTTATACATAATTAAATTAACATTTATGTGTATTTCTATTAAATAAATAACTTCTAACAGGAACAGAGTGGAGCTTCTGCTGCAACTCTTAAGCTCTTCATAGCTTGCTTATTCCATTTAGCTGCCCTGGGTGCTCCCATCGAGTGGCTGGCCGATGCAGCCAGCTGCTTGGGATCACTGATGAGTACATGGTGAGGGCCCTGGGCCAAATGATACTCAAAGTCGGGATTCTGTTTGCGCAGAATCTCGAAGGCGGGTATGAAGCCTTCGTTAATGAAGTTCGAGTTGCTTGCCTTGATGACCATGTAGGGTATGTTGCGTATGCGACGATTCAGCTCCTTCACAAACCCAACGCCGGGTGGAAAGAGCGTGTGATGGGCAAGTCGCGAGTCGCGGAATATGTAAAACTTTTCAGGTTGGTCAGGCACTCGCCTCACACAGCGATTGACCAGTGGAAGTGCCAGCTCTTTGCTGATCGTAGGCGCGGGACCCCAGCGCGTCTCTTTCAGCTGAGCAGCAGTATAGAGCTTTGGCGCTGGCGGGGGCAGAAGCATGCGCTCCACACTGTTGGCCAGGTAGCTGATGTAGAAACTGCTGCTCTTGTAGGGTATGGTGAGTAGATCGATGGCAATCAGAATATCCACATGATCCTGGCCATAGAACGAGGCATACAGATTGCAGGCGATGGCCCCAAACGAATGGCCCATCAGCGAGACGCGCCGCCACTTGAAATGCAACACCACGCAGCGAATAATGCTCGTCCATTCAATGACGGAGTACTGCATGCCAGCCGGATATGGCGAGGAGCGACCATGGCCAGACAGCTCGATGCACAGGACGCCCAGATGGTCGGGCAGCAATGGTATAAGACGTGCAAAGCTGCCCATATTGTCCATCCAGCCGTGAATGGCGAGCAGCGGACGCACCTGACGATTGCCGTACCAGCGGCAGGCGACGCGGCCCCACGGCGCGCCGATGTCAAAGTCAATAAACTGCCGAGAGATTTTCGGAATGCGCTGCGATTAGCACGTGACTCTCGAAACGAATTTTCCACTTCACTTACCTCATTGCTGTCCATCGTGGCCCCTTTCGGTTTGCTAGTTCCAAAACAACTGAACAACTGAGCGACACGTACCGTCAGCTCCTTCTCTGCGCATTCAACCGATCTGCTTACGCGTGACCTTCAAATGCTCCAACTCGACTTGGGAACTTGAACTTGTGACAGACCAAAATATATATATGGCTTAATACTATGCTGCAAGTGTTATGTGATAAAAAAAATATTCATACCCTATGGGGCATATGTAGATAAGCTCGGAGTACGACTCAACTTGAACTCTGTGAACTGTATGAATTCTAACATTCGCTTTGAGCTTGCACAATTATCGATAACATATTTTATATGGTTGTATGTGAATTTATATCTATATAGCTGAGCAGATGATGATTCTAATGAGATATATTTATATATGATAAGAGTAAATATATGCACAGCTCCTTTAAACTATTAAAGAGTAACTGTAGATTCGCTTTGACTTTCATTAGATAGTTAAATAAATTTCTATTGCCTTGTTTTGATCAGCCAAAATTGTCTTATCTCATGTTAGTCTAACTATATAAAGACTATACAAACTGAAACTGCACTTAATACTTTTATCACCTTTACATTCAAATGACGCAGCAGCAGCGCTGCCGTCTTTAAATTGGACTTAAGTCTCTTGACACGCCCGCAATTCGGAATGCGTTTGCTTGAGTTCCTGTATGTGAACGCTATGATTTATATATTTAATTTGTGTTTGAGCAATTTATCATGTCTGTCTGTGATCTCCGCTCAAGTGCAAGGCGCTGCTCATGCCCCAGTGCCATTTCCCTTTTGGTTTGCAAGCTGTGCGTGTCCGTTGCCTCTGGAAATGCTATGCAAATTATCTTGGGCACCTAAGCTCGAAGTGAAAGTGCGATTTCCCAGGCAACTACCTACTACATATATGTTTATATAAATCTGCCTGTGTGTGGGTGTGTGTGTGGGTGTGTGTCATCTATACGCTATGTACATATTATATTGTATGCTTATGCGTCGGCCTTGAATCCATAATTTGCCTGTCAACGACAGCAGCCACCCACAATTTGCGCACATAATTGAGCTCAAGCATTTGGAAGCCAATTATGATTTCCCATTTTCCATTTTCCCACCGTAAGGGTCGTAGTCATACTTTGGGCCCTCGAATTTCTTTGTGCCGTTTGGCGTCGTTTGCGCCTTTTCACATCTCAATCAACCGCGTCCTGGCAACAGCAATTCCACCATCTCATGCCACTTCTCCTTCGCCTTCTCGTTTGCCTTGTCGTGCTTTCGCCTTTAATTGCTTCTGCCACTTAACATATGCAAATTAATTTTCTTTTCTTTTTTTGTTCGCTTTTGGTTTTCCTTTTTCTTTTACTGCTTTCATTATTGACCGTGCCCTACTTGCGTTTGCGGTTATAGCATATTGTCCTGTGTGTCCTTTTTGACACATTAAGTGCTGCCAGCCCCATGACAGTTGTTCGATAAATATTTATCATAGCACAGTGAAGGGCAACAATGGATGGGGGCCGACAAAAAAAGGGTTAAACCGGAGCTTTGCCATTTCTTAGAGCCACATTCATGACGTTTATTTTTCATTTTGCTTAACGGTAGATAAACAATGCTCGAGGATCTATAGAATAGTGCACTTCACTCCACTTCACTCCACTCAACTCGACTCCGTACAACTTGACTCAGTTCAATTCATGGACTGACGCGTTCAACCTGCCAGCTAAGTATGCGCACAGAGCGCTGAGCCGAGCTCAGCTAGGTGGATGTTTCAACAAAAGACAACGCCGGAAGCCGCCTGCTGCTTCTGATACGCACATCAGCCAAACAAAGAACAGCAGCAACAACAACAGCAGCAACAGTATGAAATGGGACAACTTTTTGCCTTGCTTCTGCTATTATTCTTTATGTGCTTTTGCTTTTTTCTACCCCGAATTTTCCGGCTAAAGCGTGTGCGTGTGCGTGTGCGTGTGCATGTGTGTGGGCTTTAAGAGCAACAATAGCATCCGGTCTCATGAACCGGGCCCAAAACAAACGTAGAAGAAATTGCATTAAGAAATCATTTGGCAAAATGTGCAGCACGTTAGAGTTTTACGTTTCATTCTATTGCTCTTATTTGTTCCTTTTTTTGTTGGCTTTTTTTGGTTTGTTCGGCTTCCGTGCAGCGTTTTAATCTAATTTTAATGAATTATTTTCACACGAAAATTACTTAAGCTAAAAAGTTTCGTTTTGTGGTGCCGTTTTACGGTTTGCGTTTCTTTCACTGCTGCATTTGCCACGTTAATGCCTGTGTGTGTGTCTCTCTCTCTATGTGTGTGTGTGTGCGGTATGTGTTTAGAATTGTATGAGCCGTGCAATTATACAAAACCAGGCAAATTTACATTTTTGGCTGCATTTCTAATTTGAATGCGCACAAAAACCACAATTCGGACAGGCACACGACGTTGCTGATGGCCTCTAACTGGACTGCAGCAATTTATTTAAAAGGAAGTTGTCGATAAACAAAAACACATGTTGAAAATGCGCTTTAAAACGCCTGTGTGTGTGTGTGTAAATTAAAAACATGTATCCTAAATGCATGTATTATGTTATTGTCATTTGGTGCAATTTGGCTGTTAACATTTGGCTGCCCGTAAAAGTATGCAACAGTTTTAGCTGCTCAGCTAATGGGCTTGACATAATATTATTGATGGCGCACAAAAGTATGCAATGGTTTTGTGCGCTTAAATCTGTGTCGAATACTCTTAAATTATGTCTCGCAAAATTATGCAATGGCTTTTCTGCTTGTCTTTTGGTGTTGATTTTAATGCTGACGCATGGGGCGTATGCTCAATGCGCAGCCACTTAATGCCACGCGCCACATTTTGTGGCAAATCAGGAAATCCCAGTGCCGATAAATTAATTAGCCACAAAATTTATGATTCCGCCCGAGCTGAGTTATTTTCTTATTTCAGCTCTGCCTCGCATTGTTCTCCCCATGGATCGGCTTCGTTTGTTTTGTTCATCCGTTTATTAGTTGCGCCTCGCTGCCCAGTTAATAATTAATGTAGCCAATTTATGCCTTCTCATAATGCTAGCTCATATATATTTGGGCATTTGTCAAGCGTAAATCTATTTGCAGTTTGCCCCAAGCCGCACCGCATTTCATAACTCAAATCATTCGATTTATGTGCCCGAAACTTTTCGAGAGTTGTCTGCTTTGTTGTCCGTGGACAGACATTTCAAGCTTTTGGCCACTTGAGCCGCATGCCATTCGTAATTTACGATTACCCACAAAAACGCACTTCGGTTGTCTATGCAAAGACAATTGCATACCTGACCGCCAGCTAGCAGTGACTAGTGACTGCTGGCTTGCAACTGCTATTTACTACCCGGCAGTTGTATGTATCGATGCTTAGTGTTAGTCTGGTCATAAATTTGCGTTTTTGGTTAACTGCTGCTACAACGCTTGCAGGACTTAGTCCCCAGTGTTTGTTGCCAGCTTTGCCTTCAAAAATTTCCACAGAGACCACGATTTACACTGTAAGTGAGCTAGTTCAGGGAATTTACAGCAACAAAAGAGGATAGTTTGCATTTTTTGTTGTTTTTCCTGGCCCCAGCGTGTTTGGAGTTGGACGAAAATGCAACTGGCCGTATCCTTTGTAATTGGAAATCGTAGTTAAAAAGTTTGTAATTGAAAAGTTTATTTTTGATTTTACTCCGAGGCAAGCAGAGACAATAGTTTTTGTATTTGTGTCCGTTTGTGAGTGTGTGTTAGCGTCTGTGTGCTTAATTGTGTGGTCTGTTTGGAATTTTTGGCATTTTGGCCCGTAATTGAACTACGAACTGTCACAATAGTTCAAACGGAGTCAGTAATTAGAAATGGCCATTTCCACTGCTGTTTCAATTTGTGGCCCAAAAACTTGTGAATTTGCGGCTAGCGTATTAATTTATGCCATGCTGAATATTCTAATAAATTCCGCAAAAGAGACTCGCTCTATCTCTCTCGCTGGCTGGCTGGCTAAACACAATTAACTATAATTTCCCAAGTACTCCAAAGTCAAATAATGCGCCAGCTTTTAATTAAAAGCGAGTGCATAAATGCAATGCGAAGCTGCAATTTGCATGAAATCCAATTAAACTTTTTATCTAACCAATTCAAATAAATCATACGCACTGTTGTCCCCAACTTGCCACAACAACTGAAAAAGGGCAATCAAGATAAATATCCGAGCTGCCAGACAGCTTGACATGTGCACATTAGTTTCTCATCCAGATAAGCTTTGTAGTTGGGTTTCGGTCTATTTAAACAGCAGCAACAGCAGCAGCCAAGCGAAATTTGATTGCCATTTGCTGGAATTTGCCAGGCGGGCGACGTGCCACAGTGTGCCTGCAAGCGAAAGCCAAAGAAATTCATCAAATAAAGTAAGAATAAAGCAAAGCTGGCAACGCGGCACGTACAGTGCCTAAAAATGTGCCACACCACACGCAGCTCCTTGCTAACCGCCTGTCTGCGCTGCTCTGCTCTGCTCTGGGCTGCTCTGCACTTTGTTCTCCGCATTGGCCGTCATTTGCATTCGCATCCTTCGTTTTGTTTATTTGCACTTGCATTTTGTATTTATTCAGTTTTTGGCTGCTCTCTCGCTGCGAGTTTGCCTCTTCGCCTGCTGTTTGCCTGTTTGCCAATGGCGAATGCCGTGTAATTTGTTGCAACAACTTTTTGATATCAATGTAAATTTTAATTTGTTTGGCAAATATATTTCTGGCAACATTCTGTGGCATGAATTGAGCCGTGAAATTGCCAAAACCAAAATGAACCAGCCCCATAAACAAATTTAAACACAAACAACCCAAAACCAAGCCATTTAGCTATAAGCACGCAAATTTAACTGTACAAATAAATGCAAGGCGGGATTTGAACCGTATAAAAACCTGGATTTGCCTGGGACTTGCAATGCTCACAATACAAGCAGAAATTTACACAATGAAATCTTATTTAGATTGGAAAGCCTTTACTGGTTGCCAGTGTAGGA